GCAAAACTGTTAGGACTCCCCTTTGAAATTCAAACAGACAGAGCTCTTTGTAGTAACGTGCTAATTAACTGGCTTGCCCATCAGATTAACGTTTCCTGGTTCTGACGTCAATCCACGATCTAACAGTCATCAGATTCAAAGTTCCTAACAGGATTGGTCCTTCCAATCACAACAAGTAGATTTGGAAAAATTAATTCTATTAATAAATGTCATTGGATACTTATGCACACAAACTCTGCACTGTTTCATTTTTAATGCCATGACAAGTAAGCAATCCCAGCAAGAGCAAAGTAATTTATATACATACGATGAGCTCAAATATCTAGCAATACCTACAAATTAATCATAGCAAAAGACTGGTTTGCTGAAAAGGTCAGGAGCTGATCTTTTTTCTCCCTTTCCGCCATCCTCCACCTCTGAGCATCCAATTCCTAGTAATTTTCCTGTTCCTCCTAATTAACTAAGAATTAGCCCCTGGACGAATGGATCCTAAATCACAGGCAGAGCTTTTAAGGTTGACTTCAGCTTCCGCTTCTTCCCATTCAGACCTGACTCGAAGGAAGAGATGGTTTCCAGGAAGTGGGAGCAGAAGATGCCAGCAAAAATAAGATCATGCTGCTCGTTCGAATTCCATCATCTTTTTGCAAAAGCCTTCAGTATGTACAATACACACCAATATTTTTATGCTGAAGGGGTTTCTTTGATATAATTGAAGGTTTGCTTTGAATATTATTTTGACTGGTTGCATGCATGAAGTAAACAAAATATTTAAAATTTAGTCATTCTCCTTAATTCTGGAGAAGGCTTTAATGATGGGGAATGTGGAAGGAAAAAACAAACCAGGATGACCAGCGTGAGTGGACTCAGTTAAAGTGAAGATTACTGTTAATCTTCTCATTACTCATCACCTATCACTTGTGACTGTATGACTGTAACTTTGTCTCTTGTATCCTTATGATCTATACTGACTGTTTCCTAGTATGATTTGATCGCTTATTGTACCTTATGACTATCATTAAGTATTGTACCTTATGATTCTTGACAAATGCATCTTTTCTTTTATGTATACTGAGAGTATTTGCACCAAGACAAATTCCTTGTGTGTCCAACCACATTTGGTCAATGAAGAATTCTATTCGATTCTAGATGGTGTACCATTGGAAGAGCTGAAGATCAGGGAATAGATCATACTGGAGAAAAAAAATCTATCTTCGTGGTCACTAAGAGTTGACACTGACTTAATGATACATAACTGTAGAGAGAATAAAGAATGGTCTTGAAGGACCGGAGAAAGAGCTGATAGCAAGGCAATGGTCAGATAAGAGGATCTTGAACCTGGGCCAAGAAAATAATGTGAGAAAATACGGGCCCTCTCACAGAATAAATTAATCTCAGCAGGAAAGTCCATTCTGCCCACAAAATATTTACTGAATTATTTCATTTGTGATAATATTTATTGATCATAGGCAGAATTCATCTGCATAAGTGAGGAAGAGGGAAGCACTTTCAGAATTGCAACATTCTGTTACTATAACACTTACAATAAAAGTAATTATGAACTATATGGTATTGGTTTTTGAATCTGGTCTAACTTGCTGGGCTGGGCTGATATCAATTAATCAATCTCCCTAATTAAGTTGTTACCTACATTCAGTGGTTTAAAGTTGGAAGTCATAAGGCTATTCAAATTTATTAGGAAAGAATATACTCTAATACAAAGGTGTTTTCTGTTCTTATATCCGCTATATGACCGGTTGCTATAGTTACTTCTTTATGAGACAGACATACTCATTTCAGGTCACTTTCAACTTTCTTTCCCATAGACCTATCCCTAGGACTGGATATAACTCATGTCTGGCACAAATTAAGACCTGAATTGTTACATACAGGGTGGGACTTCTTGCCTCCAGTATCATATAGCTTTAAATAGAATTACTGGAATTTCCACTTTTATTGCCATTATTATTATTGAATAAATTCAGTATGATTTTCATCAGCTTTTAAAAAGAAAAAATCTGTATCCATGTTAATGTTATTAATATTCATATATTATTATCCTAATTATTATTAGGATATTATTAATAATAATTATTAGGATATTATCATCTTAATAATAAGAACTATGTCTCAATGCAAGATTTGGCATCTTAAGCATTTGGACAACTATTCTGTACTTTAGAAAATTATCTACACCTGTATAATCAAAAAGAACCTGTAAAACTGGTATTTGATTAGATGCATTCAACAGGTGGCTGGATGAAAGAGCTACCATCTACTCAAGTCTGAAGTCCAAAAGTTTATAGTGTCAATCCAAGCAGAAGCTCAGCTTCTCTCATTTGTTTTGTTTTGTTTTTTTTGGTAGGAAAGACAGAACAAGATAATTGCATACTCTATGATGTTAGAGGCAGTATCTTCACAGACTTGCAAAAACAAAAAAACAAAATTCTGCATGCATACCTTGAAATAAATCTTCCATTTTTCCTACAAATTGAATAGTTAATGAATATTCACTAATAGCAAAGAACAGCTTCAGGAAAAATGAAAGCAGAAGGAGAAGAAGAATGCAGCCCCAGTCGTTTCATTCTCTTCACAAGGCTGCTTTGGGGGGTTTTAAAACACGGGGAAATTCCAAATAAATAATTCGAATAGATAGGTTGTCCCTTTTTCAGAAATGGCTTTTAACATAAACTATAGAGTATCATTAAACAAATTACAAATTTAAGAAAAAAAGAATGTAAAAAAGAAAGGACATATGACATTTTCAGTACACTTTTCATATTACGGTTGAAATAAATGTAAGAATTTCAGGATGGATGTCTGCAAGGGAGAGGGGAAAAGAAAGGGCAAGGGCAAGAAACTAAAAATCACAACATGTGCATGATGACATCACCATACCATGCCTTATCTACTGGCATCAGGCATTGGGATGCAAGAATGTAATGGTGGTACTTGCTCTATGATGTCACTGCATTGCACTTGAGTTTTGGTATAACTGAGGATGCCATTGGTCTCAAGAAAGCAGAGGAAGTTGAAAAGAGGTTTACTTCAAAAATCCCATTCTACAGTGTCTGCTTTGTAAAGGTCAAAGATGGCTAGAACTTTGAATTTTACATATGTTTGCAAAAAACTTTCTCATGGATAAAACCTTGAACCAACATAGAATGTCTGTGATATGGTGAGGGCTGAATAACTCATACTCAGGAAGCTGCTACTTTGCCTTAGTTCTTCTCAGTTTCTCTATTTCTACATCCTTTGGGCTGCTTCTTCTTCATCACTTCTAATGCCATATCTGTTACTTAGGCCCATCTGCTGGCTTTCATATCAATATCCCAATAATTCTTTAATGCTGAAATTATATTTTAATGAGGCAACACCGGCAGCCTACCTCCCCACTTTACATCAAGGGAGGCTGTGTGGAGAGAGTTTCCTCCTTTAAATTCCTGGGAGTCTAGATCTTACCTGGAAAATCAACACAACCCAGGTGGCCAGAAGGGCCCAATAGAGATTCCATTTCCTTAGGGTCTTGCGAAAAAATAAAGTGGAACAACGACTGATGACCTCCTTTTACCGGTCCACAATAGAAAGCGTCCTCACATATTGTATTATGGTGTGGTATGCTGGCTTGACAGCCACGGATAGAAAGACATTAAAGAGGGTGGTGAGCACAGCACAAAACACTGTGAGCTGTTCCCTGATATCACTAGATGACATCACTAGGGCTCGCTGCCTTAGAAGAGTGAGGAAAATTCTTACGGACAACTCACATCCCAGTCAGCACTTCTTCACTGTCCTACCATCAGGTAGGAGATATAGAAGCATAGCCAGCCACATCAACAGGCTGAAGAACAGTTTCTATCCATGGGTTGTCAGACTTCTGAACGGAAAATAACTTCATGTCAACATAGTATGATAGACTTGAGTTGTGCAACAAGGTCACATAGTGTAATAAGATTGGGACTGGGTTAGGGACGTCTGTCCTCACTGTGAGTTGTGTTGGGGGGGGGGGGGAACGAAGTGAGGCTCAGCCAGGGTGGGATTCTACCAGTTTGCACCTATTCGCTAGAACCGGCTGTTAACATTCTAAGCAGTTCAGAGAACCGGTTGTTAGAAGAAATTACTGGCCTAATCCTGTAAGGAAGGCAGGAAGGAAACATTCTGGTGTTGCTTACAGAAACTGCCTCTTCGTTAACCCTTATTACATTCTTGGCAGGACTAGACTTCTTGTCTCAGGAACTTCTCTGGAGTTTGTTTTCCCCTCCTTTGCTAGTACTTTGCTTGTGTGTAGTGACCATTCAAAGTTACAATGGCACTGAAAAAAGTGACATGACCATTTTTCACATTTACAACTGTTGCAGCATCCCCACAGTCATGAGAGGCGAGGAGATGCCTCAATGTTAGTGATGTTGAGTTGGCCACACCTAGCCAGTCATATGACCACCAAGCCACACCCACCAACTAAGCCATGCCCACAGAACCGGTTGTTAAAAAGTTTGAATCCCACCCCTGGGCTCAGCCAATCTCATTGTACACATGTTGTACTCTGACAATAAAGGTAATAATCCACCCACATCTCACAAAAGTTAACTAATAAGAAATAGATTTCAGAAGAAATAGAATATTCATATCTAGTTCATATAAAAAACAATCTCACTTTTTTTTCTTAGGTGTGGAAAAACAAATTATTTTACCTAAAAACATTAAGAGCCAGAACAACAGGAACCCCAAACTGCTGAGTAATTTGAATTTGCTTCAGCAAGTTGCTGCAACCATCTGACACCAACTTGAGATTCTGTATGGGAAATGAAAGAAAACCAACAACAAATATACATTTGTTCTGTTTGTTTATTCAGAAAAATGTTTTATTACTGTGCTTTTAATATACAATATGGATCAGCGCAGTTAATTCTGTCCACCTACATTAATTCTTATGTCCAAGTACCTTAAAACAGTTTTATGGTTTCTGCAGAAATGCCTGTCAAACTCCCTATAAACAAACGAAAATGTGCTAAGAGGAAAAAAAAGGTAAGGGAAATTGAATTGAATCTTATATATTAATTATTTTCTTTCCCGTTATGTTGATGATATTTTTCTACCTTCTAGAAGTGTCAAGTGGCTTACATAGGGATCTCCATTCATTTTCTTCCTGTAGCAGCAACCATTTGAAGTAGATTGGGCTGAGACGCAATGACTGACCCAAAGTCACTCAATTAATTTCCATAGCTGAGGGATACTTGAAATATGAACTAGAATATGAAACTTCTACTGAAAACCTTTCAAGTCCACTATGGCTGATACATAAATGAAATTATATTCACTGATAATATCTACATAACAATATTTTTAATGTTATTACTGGCTGATCAAGATGTTTGAGTGAATTCACATCACTGGTCATGTGGACTTGCTATATGAGATTTTCAGAGCATTTTGAGGCTATCGCTATCTTCAACATTTTTGGGAGCCCCACTTAAAAAGTGCATGTGCACATGCTCACAATACATTTTTTTTTAAAAATTAGTTAGGTCAGGAATCCAGGGAAGTAAAAAAAAAAAAGAATCAATGTTGGAATATGAAAACATGTGAAGCATGTGAAAACAGAGAAGAGAAATATTAGCAATAGATTATGTAAATATGAGTGTGTGTTTCTGAAAGACAAGACGTATGATCCTTTCACTGCTAATTAATGCTGCTAATTGTAACCCAGAGCAATTTACAAGAAAACAATAAGAAAAAACAGATTTAAATAAATCATCATACTAATATCATCACCTGTTAAAAATAATACATACAAAAGTTGCAAAGGGCACATTAGCACATGACGATTCTGTTGATGCAGCCTTACAATAAAAATACTACTGGTATTCCTGAGTTTCTGGACTATCTCGAAAAACTAATGTCAACCCTGAATGGTCCAGTCTATTCAATAAACCTCTTCTTTTTAAAGAAAAAAATCCCTCAAAATATATTTTTATCTGTTACCTTTCACCTCATGGCAGCTCTACTTGCTACCTATTTTTATTGCTGATCTGTGTTTTATGCATGTATACATTTTATGCATAATTGCATATTTAATTTTATTTTACAACTTTTCTACTTATTATTTTGATTTTTTGTTGATGTTTTTGATAATTATATGATGGTTACTTTGGGTGAGTTTTATTAGGTCTGATATTTTTTCCTTGTTAACTGCTTTGGGTCAGCCTATGGTTGGAAGCTTGCAGTATGTAATTGAACAAAATAATTGAACAAATAAACACATATTCCCAAAGGATTGTGAACTTTACTTTCTGGAACTATGAGGACGGCCTCCATAGGTAACCTTATTGGATGAGTTGGATGGCATTGGGAGAAAAAGATTTTTCAATACATTGGATTAAGCCATTTAGTTATAGCTATTTGGAGGAAATATTCCTAAAAATGGATTTTAATAGGGACAGGAAATGTTCTCACCTCTTCCGTATATTCTTTCTTAAGAGGTACACCAGCTATAACCTGAAATTACAAACAAATAATTAAAGAATAGACAGATATTTAGAAACACCTAAAATATGTGATCTTCATGATTTCTAGAATGGAGAAACCCTGCAAAAATTTTATTTGAATATTTATATAAAAACCATTGTTACTTTGCACATATATTTTTAATAACCAGGATTTTAATTACCAGGGGATTTTGGAATAGTGTTTTCTCCTCTTATATTGATACTATTGTATATCTGACTAAACAAATCTCTATATTTTGCAACTAGATAATACTAGACTCAAGTTCTGAATCTAGTTTTTAAACCTGAAAATATCCAGTGAAATTCACTATTTCAGTGAATTTTAAGCAAAATGTTTTGAAGTTATAATACTTAATAATTGACCATATTTTTTGTGTTAGAAAATAAAGATTTCTAACCCAATGTTTGCATGGGAATTTGAAGAAGAGAAACAATTGGAGGAGGAAGTCTTAGATCTTTCTTTTTGCCTTGAGAAGTACTCCCCTGCTTCCCATCTGTGCTCCAATTCACGTCAGTCATCCATCCTTCAGATTTCCTAGGTGATTAAATCAACTTAAGAAAAATATAGGCAAGCAACATAGGCAAGCAAGAGAAACCATATGAAGGAAACGTTAAGGGATCTCTGCTTTTTTATTATATTCTGTGAACTGGTTAGAAGTTTCAGTGGGCACAAAAACAAATGGAACAAACTACATTCCTTCATTTGCTCATTCATAAAGCCAGAGTTTGGAAAAGACAATAATAAACCATAGCTTCGAACTGTGATTTACAGACTAATCCTAAGTATGACTAAAGATGACTTTTCCCTAACTCTGTTTGCCCATCACATAAGCCCTTTAAAATCAACCTAACAGATTACTACAGTATGTCAATCCAGTTAATAAATTCCAGTTCTCTACTAAGAAATCATGTTCTTGCCAAATCCTAAATAATCCTATTACTCAAAAACAATTACTAAAAAGTATAAATCTAACAAACTACACCTGGTAATCAGTGGAAATACAAAAAGAGAGAAAGAAAAAAGTAAAGTTAAAAAAAAAGAAAACTAATCCTTGGAAAGTGAACTGAAAATGTTCAGCAAAAAACATCTAGGTTTTGGCTTATTTGTTGGTCAGTTATTTTTCTTACTTCAACTGAATATTTTATTTAGTGGAAAAATGTTGAAACTACACTTTAAAAAAATTCAATTGTGTAGTCTCCTTGAGGTCTCAAAGAAATGCATTTCCCATACAAACAACAGGGTTGTCAGGCATAGAATTATTAAAATTTTTTAACTGAGCCTGCAAACCTCTGTACCCAAAAAAGTGAAGAGAGTACAAAGATTAAGGCTGCATCCAGAATAACATTATATATTACAGCTGCATGCCACCAAGTTGAATGAACTTTATACTTCCCAATGTGGAAGCAACGGGGCACATTTGCAAAATGTTAACATTTTCAACAGAGAGGAGAGGGAAGAATCAAGAAAAGGTAATTTGAAGAAAGATGTTAAAAATAAGGATGTAAAAACCAAGACGTGGTACTTTTAGCACAAAATTAAAGTATTAACGTGAAAGATTGCTGTTGGACAAATCTGGGCAAACATTAGAAGGTAGCAGAGTTAGAGTTTTCTGTAATTCTTTGGCATCTTCAGCTCAGACATAGTAGCTTTAGGAATGAAGAATAAAGAAGTGAATTAAAAAAGTACTACTAAAGGAGAAACAAAAATAGAGACAAGATGTAGATGTAAAGGCAATGGTGGATTATAACCAAAGTAGTTAGCATATAATCTTAGAACAATTAGTATTTGTAGTTAAACATCAGCATCCAGTGGCACAGAAATTTGAAAAATATTGGGAAACGGGAGGGGGGAAAGGATCAAGCTCAAACAAGAAATTAAAATTAAATGAAAGAAAAAAGTGAGGAATCAAAAGATAAAAGCCAGACTGCATGCCTGGATGACAGGATGAAAGAAGACACAAGAATTTTGGGAGGGAAGACAGAAAATATAAGCTCTAATATATATATATGCCTCCAAGTATTGCTACAATCAGAATTAAAAAAAGATAAAGAAATTGGGTGCAATTTAGTCAAGTTGAGTATTTTAAAATTCCATACAGTTAATAATTCCCTCCCAATGAATTTAACAGATCAAGGTTCTTAACTTTGATTGGAATGTACCCATAGTTGGCTTAAATAAAGAAATAATTAAGAGGATGTAGGAAACAGCCTTAGGAACTAGCAGTGGGTTCAAACTGTAGGACCATGAGTCAGTTATTGCAATGTGAAGGATGAACTACAAGGGTGGGGGAAAAAAGTAAAAAAATAGCAAGCAGATTTTATTCCATTTCCTAAACTTCTTAAGTCATGTAGAGAGCCTTCCTTTAATTAGCTCTAAAACTATTGTCTCTTGACAATTCAGAGAAAGAGACTGTTAATTGGCTTGCAATGCGCTAGGAGTCATTTCAACCACTTCCAGAACTGAAATGTTTATACTTATTTCAAATGATAAGGGGTTTAAAAAGTTCTGAAGATTTATTCTATTATTTGAGAGGTAGAGACACTTACATTTGGCCCACCTCCATGCATCTTCAAAGCCCTCACTGTAGCCACAAGCACAACCACATTGGGAATCAAGCCAGAAGCTCTGCATTTGATGTTGAAGAATTTCTCCATTCCGATATCAGCACCGAAACCGGCTTCAGTTACTATTAAGATTAAAGGGTTAATTTAAGTTAGGGTGGATCAGTGAACCCAGGAAATTTAGCTATTTGAGAGCTATCACAGTTTAGTATATACACAAGTAGCTTCATCTATACAGACACCTCATCATGAATGACCATGTTTTCACAGGAATAGGCAGTGCTTTTATTTTTAAAGAAGAGTGGGAGATTCTCCCAAACTAGAAATTTCAATCAAAGCCTTAAAAAAAGCATTTGTGTTGTACACATTTACACAATGTCCATATATCATGTACCCATTCCTAAGCGGGGGAAATCATCCAACTGTTAAAATTAATGTGCTATTACAGCAGTTTTGGTATTATACAGCCAAATAATTAGTTAGTGCAAATAGTTATTTGTTGCTTACTTCTTAGATTTATACCTCTCTTTTCCTTCAGAAAAACATAAATGGATTTTTACCCTCTCTTTCCCTACCCTCATCCCCACGACAACAAGCCTGCACAGAGAGTGATTTTTAAAACCAGACTTTAGCTACAACTTGAAGATGTACACTCATCATTAAGGCCAGACTAGAAAGCTCTTTTCACATCATGAGAAACCTCTTTTGCACAAAGTTTGCCAATTCAGTCCACTTTCACATGCCAGAGACTTTACCAAATCTTCACACAGTTTGGAAAATCTCTACATGATCAGAAACATGATGTTCACATGATAAACTGCCTTAAAAGTCCATCATACATCAGCTGCAATCTAGTTAAGCCTTAAACAGAATTATTGAAACCACATGGACTTATTAATACAAGTTTAATTATTTTAATGCATCTGTTCAAAGCAAGGATTCTAACCCATTACTCTTTGGTGAAAACTTCACGACATTAACTCTGAAACGGTCTTATATTGATGGCTGAGGGCTTGTGGCCAAGAAAGAATCTTAGCTAAAGCCACATCATGGAATTCTTGGTGTGCGTGTGACCTTTGGGGAGCTTCAAAACTGGCCAAATGGCAAATGAGGCATCACAATGCAACCCTTTTGTACGTGTCAACATTGCATCTTCAGAATAGGCTGCAATTGCTGTGTCTGCCATCTTGCCGATTTTGCCTCACCTACCCATCAGCTCATACCCATATGCAAAGAATTCTAATCCTCATGCAGGATTATACACTGCATAATATATAGAAAGCAATAGGAAGAAGCTGTCGTAAAAACAATGTCAGCCTTTTAAGGCAGATCAGTTCAGGAAAAAGATTACAGGAAAGTTGTTTATTATTGTAACATATAACAACAGAATCTTGAAAGCCTGCCAGATTTTCTTTCCACTCCATTTTATACCAAACAGATTCAAAGCAATGTTATTTTGAGCTTCTTTCTCATACTTTCCCAGGACTGAGTTTCTGTTTTTTTCCCTTCCCTATTCCTGCATCAACATTATATTCTTTTAAAAACAGGCTAATTGCTTCTGAATAAAAGATATGGTATGAATATGCTACGCCATTAATAAATATCACCGTCATACTCAAAATGTAAATATGAAGATGTATTTATTTAGTCAATGAAATTTTATCAATTTTAAAAGAGCAATTATAAAGTAAAACAAACTAATGCCGCATATGCTAAAAGACAAATCACATGATATTACATTTGCACTTCTATTACTATAATACATCTACTACCCTAATAATGATAAGTTTAAAAATGTATGATTAAAAATAACCTGATTAAAATAGTTGTTAATAACTGAAACCTATGGATCAGATAATGAACTATAAGATTAGTATTCTATGTAAGTAAGTAGCTGTCATAATATGCTCAAGGAACATTTGCTTATGGTTCATCAGTGAACTGATATTTACTTACTTCCCATATATATAATTTAAAGAAAACATTATTGCTGCACATTTTAAAATACAGTTATTTTCAGAAAACAAATTAATATAAGACTTGGGGTAAAAAAAATTCAGACAGCCAATCCACATTTATATCTTTTTATATTATTACCCATTTTCTTGTTTCCTCATTTACTTTAGCTTGAATTGGGAAAAACTGAGGTACAAAACATCAGAAATATTTCATGCAATGAATCTGGGAACTGAAAACATCACAAGTCTGACAAACACAAAATCAGGAGTACAGACACTCTGACTAGTGGGAGAGGAAGGAAACAGGATGCAGTGTAAAGGCCACTAGGATGAAGGTAACCAACTGCAAAGGAAATAAATTAGAGAGTAAACTTAAAGATAAAGCCATGTGCCAAAGTCATGTACTTTGACCCTTGTTTGTGCTCAAATATTCAACACAATCACTTTTGTATTATTTCCTGCTGGCAAATCAGAGTGCCAATGAAAATAAAACCAAATAGAGGCCAGTAGGACAAAAATGATTCCAAGTAGTCTTTGTTTAATAATCATGTAACTCTGGAGGCTGGTTATGTAGATATAACTAAATAAATGTTCTATTTCAAGGCTCTGTGTTTGTATAAAGCTCTTCAGGCATTCATACTATATGTAATTCTACATATAAGGAGAAGAAACCACAGCAAGCCTATTAGGTCAGCTTGGCTCCCACACCATCCTTTTTGCTTTACAAGAGTAGAGTGTAAAATAGAAGGAGTATCTTTTGTGTAAATTAAAATTATCATTCCAAAAGAAGGCTCTTGCAATCCACAAGAGCTCTCTTTCCATATGAAAAAAGTGTAACAATAAGAATGAAAACTACATTTGACTCCTGTCATTGGCTTATCTCAGTTATTACAATCCTTTAACAAAGCTGTGTGTGTGTGTGTGTGTGTGTGTGTGTGTGTGTGTGTGAGTGTGTGTGTGTGTGAGGGGGGGAGGGAGGGAGGGAGGGAGAGAGAGAGAGAGACAGAGAGAGAGAGAGACAGAGAGAGATAATGAGACAGATATATAAGACAAGGGAGGAAAGACAAATTAAAGGAAATGCCTTTATTTTTCTTTTCACTAAAGTAGATAACATATGTGAATGCATATAATCCCACTTACGCTATCTGGGGAATTAAAAAAAAGAACTCAAGACATTCTGACAATTCAGCATTTATGATATACATCCCCCACATTCTTGGTGCAATTATTAACATGGAACACGCTTTCAGAAAATATTTTTTACAGACTACTAAATTATAAACTAAAACTCAGAACAATATACAAACAGAAGAAAGCCGCCACTAACACAGTTAACTTAACACAGTTAACACAGTTCCATATGGGGTCTGAATCCAATAGTCAAAATTAATATAGCAAGAAACCTTTAAAAAAATCAGACGTTTTTACTTGTAAGGACACAAAATGAAACATAAGAAAATTATCTACTATTAAAATCTCATGAACAGGTAGATTTCAACAAAACAAATCTTTGCAGAGTAAGCATTTAGGGCCAACACATAAAAACCAAAAACCAAAACAGCACATTGGAAGAGAGCACTAGAAAATATGCACACTAGGCTAAGTTTTAGGACATGCAATAGTGGACGCCAAATTCCAGAACAATGCAAGAGGAAATGGAAATTCTGAATTGCTGGTGGCCATATAATTCTACGATGTAAACATAGCTCTCCTTCTGCAGCTGTCAGCAGGGAAACTATCGAGTTCAAAGTTACAGAAGCACATGAACTTTAACCCCAGGGATCCAAGGCATTTTGATTGGGGGAGCAAGGCTCAGTGTTTCTTGTAAAAGAGCACATCGCTAAACACAACAGCTGCCAAAATAAACTAGGATGGATCAAGATCCATCTGAAAGGATGCCCATATTTTTTTGTTAGAACAGCAAGGGTAAATGAACTAGATGTTTTTACAACCTGACCCCACATCTCTTCCTAAATGAGCAGTTGTGGAATGTACTACTCTCAGATCTTTCCATGTGTTCCAAATGATTCCATAAACTTGCTCTGTTCTGTACATTTCTAATATATTTCAGATGCTCGTGGTCCTATAATAAGGCATGTTTTAAATCATACAAGCCTGGGCTGGAAGTAAAAAAAAGACACATATAATTTACAGGTATTACTTTATCTTTATAGAATGCTGTTTGAGGATTCAAACCATTCAACATTCTAAAATAATTGAGCAAATCTTTCCAGGAATAGCAGCTGGACTATAGAGAGACTGTGTCCATATGGAATTATAGAGGATGGCTACAGAGGATGGACCTCTCTTCATTCAAATACATTGTCATCTGAAGCTCTTTTCGGTTTAAAAGAACAATTTTGGAGAAAAAAATGGGAGAGAGAAAGAGAGGGAATTGAGAGAGCAGTTCAAGTAACTGACACATCAAATATTTGTTTTCAAATTATGTATACAGGTAGTCCTTGACTTACAACAGTTTGTATAGTGACCCTACAAAGTTACAACGGCACTGAAAAAAAGTGACTTCTGGCCATTTTTCACAATTATGACCTTTCCTGAATCCCCATGATCATGTAGTCAAAATTCAGATGCTTGGCAACTGATTCATATTTATGACGGTTGCAGTATCCTGGGGTCCAACTGTTACTATTTCCTGCCTTCTGTATATTTAACTTGAACTGGAGAATCCCTCTATTTTGTGAATGGATGGGTATGAGTTGTGAGAAGTAGCTCTTTTGACAATATGCTAAATCTGACTGAGGGAGGGAGGAAGGAAGGAGGGAAGGACAGAGGGAGGGAAGGATGGATCTATAATATTTTGTCTATGGCTGAAAATTAGTTCTGTATTAGTTTTATTTTCTATTTAGCTTTCTAAACTTCAGCTAATGCAGAATACAGTGGGCCAGAAAGTTATGTATGTACGTTGTTGATTTTTAAAACCCTTCCGGCCATGGGAGGGCACCATCTTCAAGGGATCTACATTTGATGGGTCCCAGTTACAATGATTTTTTAAATAATATTTATTTAATATTTTTATTTTATTGTTGTAGACTGCCCAGAGGAAGTTCTAGTGAGGATATATATGTGTAAAAATGTGTGTGTGTGTGTGTGTGTATGGTATTCAGCTTTGTTCGGGTATTTTCCCACGTCATTATAGTTGTGCTTTTAAAGTTGTAGCAACGTTTCGGCAGAATCTCATCTGCTATCATCAGGCTTCTGTATAGTGTTTGTCTGTGAGTCAGACTTTCACAGCCGTTTCAGTTTTAAATTTGGTGCTAGCCTACGCTGTGCCAGAATGGTTTCTTCTTCATCCTGATTGGTTGAGAGTCTTGGTCTGTGTTTATTGGTCTTGGAGTTTGCTGTGTTCTGCTTGATTGGTGTTTCTAATATCTTCTGTCTGTTTTGTAGCTTTTTTGTCTTGATTGGCTGGCAACATTGTGTTTCCTGTATTGGAGGCTTTTAGTGTGGCTTGGCTCCAAGTAAACGGGCGGCTATCATTTATTAGGAAGCTAGGTTTCATCTGGGTGCCTGGTTGGGGTGTGTTTGGGCTGGAGGTATCAGGGGGGATCTGTCTGTGCCCAGGTGTTTGCCTGGCTTGTGGTGTGGACATTTTTTTCTTTGAGAGTACAGGCTTCCAGATAATTGACAGTCTGGTGGAGTCATCTTTTCTATTCATGCTTTCAGGTCTTTTTTCAATCTCTATGGCTTCTCTGATAATTCTGTAGCTGGGGTTTTCTATAATGGCTAGGGTTTTGGTGCCATTGAAGTCGATGCTATGACCTGTGGCTTTCATGTGTTGGACTAGTGAGGAAGTGTGTTCCAGCTTTTTTACTGCATTTTTGTGTTCATCTAGGCGGGTACTTATTCTTCTATTGGTCTGTCCATGATGCACAGGGGACTTCATATATGCCTTGGTTTTCCAGGTCAATTTTATCTTTGAGGTTTCTTAGGATGGCTGCTATTTTTCTTCTTATATTAAGTCTATATATTATAAGAAGATACTACACAGGCATCACATCAAGACTGCCTTCAAAACAGACAGAACAATAGCAGCCATAAAAACCCCAATGTTCCACAGGGAACATCAAGCTGTGGCCTTCTTTTTTTGTCTCTCAAAAAAATACAGTTATTAACATTTTTTTCAAGGAATAATCCAGCTTTTTATGGTGTTTGGCCCGAGAAGAGATAAGGTTGTTTGGGAAATCTTTGTTTAAAATATGATGTAATTCCAAATTATAGCCCTGTATTCTGGAAAGATTATTTCCTAAAAGAAATAATTATTTGCAGACATTTACTCATGACTTATTAGGGAAGTGGATGGCAAAGAAACAAAAGAAAATAAACCACTGCCTTTATAAATAATTGCTAGTCTTCAGATAAAATTCTATGTTTTCTTTCTTCATTTGCAATCTTTTCTATTGTTTTGTGATATACTGTTTCTAAACTGGTCCTTTCAACACTACACTGTTTCTTAAGGACCAGCAATTCAAATAAGCATAGAAAATAGAATATAGACAGAGAAAAAAAATCTATATTCCTTCAATTTCCCCCTTTTTACAATTCTATTTAATTATTTATTTATTTATTCATTCATGTTTCTTAATTGCCCATCTCCCTCGGATATGTGGCTGGCATCAATTTTAATAGCTGTACACCACTGATAGCTAAGTAAGCTATACATTTAATCAACCTCTTCTAAAAGGTTTAGCGTGCTGTCTTACCAAGAGACATGATTTCCTGCCTCTGCTTAAATGACGGGTTGCTACAGAGCAAAACAGTTCATCTTTTCTCCAAGGGAAAGCTATACTAAATCCTCAAATAAGATTTTTTTTAACAGCCCTTATGGTGACTGTGTCTCTGGACATATCCAGGGAGCAAGGAAATATATGGAAATACATCTTCCTGAATCTGAATTTAGTTTTACTTTCCAAATTCTCTCTCCTCAGAACCAAATCCTCTCAATAGACACAATGGTGTGATTTTTGCCTGAATTTTGTGGGCCACGTGGAAATGACTTTCAAGCTTGAGGTTCATTACATATTACAGAGACAAAGGAAACAGTCTTCCAATCTTAAGGGTTTGTTTTTTTTACATAGTACATTTATGTGTATTTTTGAATAATAATTAAAATCATTTATATGTTATAATTGGACGGGAGTTACTAGTCGTCATCAACATTGTAGTACTATCTCTCTGTAAATTATGGAGTATTTTTTCATACCACCTATTATCTGAAATGCAATGGGAAATGAGATTAAATTGCAGCTAAATACTGAGAGCAATGATTCTCCTTACACACAATTCTTAATTAATATTTGATCCAAAAGCCAGGAAATGAGAACTTAATTTAAGATAAAATAATGCTAAGAAATCATTAGATATTTTATTAATTAGAAAAAGAAATAGTAGAGAGGCACTGTTACACCACAATATATTCTAGCTAGGAGTTCTTTTATGTATACTGAGAATATTTACACCAAGACAAATTCCTTGTGTGTCCAATACAAGTATTCTATTCTCTCTTTGGAATACTCATCGCATAGTGAATTTTCTGTGAAGTCAGGCAAACACAAACAGCTATAAACAACTTAGGACAATGCAAATATTAAGACTTGTGCTTAGGTTGCCAAAAGAGGTTTACTGCTGAACAACTGAGATTTTGTTTCCTTTTTTGGAGAAAGAGCCATCACAAAAGAAATACAGCAAACCCATTTACATTTCTAAGAATGTTTTGGATAGCATCCATTTCACTTAAACATTGAGGCTGCAGTGTTTTTTTTACAAGGTAATTTATAAACCTGTTGCGGATTTTGGAGTGCGGGTAGGCATAATAAACTATATGCATGCTACATAGATATCTCAGCAACTATCATGAGGTATTTTATTTCAATGATCAATTTAACTGTATCATAAAGCAAATAAATTATTTGGACAGCCCAAAAAGGCTCAGTTCTACTGATGTTTACAATGCTGAAAAAGTTTGCCAAAAGTTATCCAGTTATCTGCTGTCATAATAACAGAAAAGGCCTGTGTGCCAAAGGAGTCAAGGGAAGAGGAGAAGTTATGGATCTTTGTATGCTTTATACAAATAATACAACGCCCTTCACTTCTATATTAAAGTCCATATTAAAATAATCAAATCTGTAATTTACTCCCCTTGACAAAGGTTGTGATAAAAAGCAAACAGGTCAGGACAAAATACAATACACTTACCTAAATTCTAAATAGTGACTGTTTTTCTCTGTTTTTATTTGGTTTCATTTATATGTCTATTCCTGTTCTTGATTCATGGCATCACTATTCTTCAGTTACAGACCATTCCAACAGACTTTATAAGGGTGAAATAATTGTAAGGCTATATGCAGTGTTTCAGTAACATGGATACCATGAGCCAATACATTTTATTTTCAGTTGCAAAAGAAGAATTGATTTATCATATTTATTTCATGTGTGAATCCACTCCTCTGAATTTTTTTAAATAAGGAAATATCTTACTATGTTAGGGAAAACTCCAGAGAACAACTTAGTAAATCAGGAATCCACTGGAAATTCAGAATAGTTGCAGAATGATTTATCTTGTTATTATTTTCTCAAACCTTCTTAGTTTAAACCAATGAATATTTTATGCCAGTAAAATAAGTAAACCCCCAAATCATAGCAGGCGCCTACAAATTATCAGTACAGATTGTTGCAGATACATATAGAATGAGCTTTCAGAGTGGCAAGCAGTAAAACATAGCTAAAATCAATAGAAACACATAATAACACAGTGTCAATTTAAAAAGGTGCTAAAAGCATCAGAGGCTAAAAACACCAGACATAAAACTAGTTGAAAGCCCAAAGCTTTCAAGGGATGTTAGAAAACCTAACGTCCTAGCCATCCTAAGAAAGTTATCTCATGGGGGGTAGGGGTTTCTTATGTATGGGAGAGTTACTAATGGAGAGATCTATTCCAGAGAAGGTATCTGCCATGTTGGTTCCCAGAAAACAAAGCCTACGATCTATCATTAACCGAAAATGTCTATCTAAGCAGAAATATTATCTTCCCTTTCACTAAGACTACATGAAACAGTGGAATTCACAGTCCTCTTTTCCTCTGGTTTGCTCTGGAGCACAATGGAAGTGTTTAGAAAGTATTTCTTTAATGTGTATTCCATGTTCTTATGAAAACTGTTTTAATAACATTAATTTTACTGTCTCTAAGGTCAGCAGAATTTTAATGTTTTAATATAGAATCCCAAATAAATAAATAAACCAAACTGAAAATTTCACAAACAAATGCTGTTAGATAATATATAGTTGGACATTCATCCCTAAGAATACATTTCAGACTAAATTATTCCAGACCTACAGCAGTATGCTAAAATAATATTAGTTTTCTCACCTACAAATCCTTCTTTGCCAACCAATTTCAAGGCAAGCTTGTCTGCCAAAACTGAAGAATTGCCATGTGCAATATTTGCAAAAGGTCCTGCATGCACAAAAACTGGAGTACCCTAGAAGAAAATAATAAGAACAGATCGACATACTGAATTCTATACTAAAGTATAAATCAACATGACATTAAGAACAAGAGAGCAATCATTTAGTTAAATTTTACAACAACTGACGTGGATAAGGAGGTAGTTTATTGATAGAATATAATCAATCTTCTTACTGGTATAATAAATCAATCTTCTAGAAAATGGATGTCAAACTCGTGCCATCATGTTGCTGTCACATAACATTTTGCAATGTTTTCCCCATTGGTGGAGCTAGGGTGGGCGTGGCCTGCACGTAACGCATCCGGCCCGCAGACTGCCAGTTTGACAACTCTGTTCTAGAGCAATCCCATGTTACTGATTGTGTCATATGTGGTGTATTATTAAACACATAATTAAACTTTCTTGTTGCAAATCCAGGTTCATTTATTGAGTTATGTCATAACAATTTCATTATTAATGTGTAGAATTCATTATCTTACTTTATAATCCATAACTGCAGCCTCGCCACCATCTGGTTCTCTTTGTACAGAACTGCTATGAACTGCAACTAAGCCCTTTCCTTCAATCAACTCATTGTCATAACTCAAGATTTTTAAAATTAGACCATGTACACCAGGCTGTAATGTGTACCATCTTATATAGGAGTAAACATCACATAATAAAATGAATTTTCCTTCTTTGGATGCATACATTGACTCTCACAGATAGAAAGTCAAAATGTAAAATGTGCATTTACAGTAAAAATGTAATAGAGTACCTGCTAACTCTTTTTCACTCTTAGATCTGCAGGGTTCTCAACTGATTCCATTGATGTAAAATTCCTCTGAGAGGAATGCAACTGCAGACAGCTCTAAAAGTAGCCCAGTTAGATCCTTAAATAATCTGCTGTCTCTGGAGCTCTCTGCAGGTTGCAGGTGGGGCACAACATGGAAAGCAAATTGGTTGTGCTTGTAGATGGGGGCCAGGATCCTTCTTCTGTGGGAGGAGCAGATTCCAACTAAATATCTCCATGATAGAATGATATGATCCCAGAGAAAGTCCATCTGAATGGGATTATACTTTCTCTCACACAGGGGTTGTTTACAAACTAGAGGTTCACGTAGATTCAAAGCTCCTACTTCAAGAACAAAAAGCAACTGTGGCTGGAGGGCTCTTGCACAACTACACACTGTGTGCTATTTGAAACTATTCCTGGACCAAGAGGACCTATTCAGGGTCACTCAAGCCTACTCATCTTCCATTTCAAGTGCCATAACATGTTTTACAAAGGGCCACTGAAGAGCTTTTGGAAGCTACATCTGGTCCGAAATATGGCAGCCTGGGCAAAGCTTGGATGCTTCACTTTTCATTGCTTCAGGACATGCATTGATGTCAGGTGTAATTAAAGGTGCTGGCTGTCATTTTTAATGTCCTATTTGACTCTGGACCTGGACCATCTTCTCCTATATTTATCTGCCCATCCAGCCAGATTAAACAGATTCAATTCCTTTCTGATCTCATCTGTATGATTCTGTCAGTTGTCAGGCCTCCGAAGTAGCCATTTTCAATATAATTTACCTCACTCTTTGGATCATCACACCAATAAAATCTGCTCAGTTTCAACCCTCTTGTTGAAGAAAACTGTTGAACTATAGCACAGCAGGAATGCTATAACTGAAGATGGGGTTTGCAGGCAAATGGCATTTGTATTTCCTAGCTTTTTATGTTTTATTTTGTGTATGTAACTAAGGATTCATATTATTATTTCAACACTATTTGTACTGTGAGTGAACCCCATTTTTCTAGGGGATGAATAGCAGTGATTGCACACTTACGATATTCAAAACTTTGAAAACATAGGTTGGCAACTTAGACTTATGAAAAAAGAAATGAACCTTGGATTACAGGTGACTGGACTCACCTCCAAAGTCTGCATCAGTGTTGGTTTAATTGCATCCTTCATCAAAACTGCCAAAGCACCAGTTACTCCCTAAAACAAAGAGATTTTTGTTTTATTTTTAAGGTTAATGTTATTTGGAACTAAGAAGAAGTTCAAGCAAACTAACCCAAGGCATCAAGTAATTTAGCTAAAAACAAAAAACCTAGAATGGATAAATTTATTATTCTAGCTTTACAGTATGAAGGTATCACAACTTAAAAGAAACAAGACAAAAAATGGCCTCAATTTCTATAAACCGCAAATAAATTTCTGATTTACAACATTTAAACATTATACTTTCAAAGAAATAACCTGTACCAAAATGTTAAAATATGTCAAGGCACAATAACTTGACATTATTATGTGGCTAAATTACTTGACATTATTTAAGACTATTACTTTTCCCAAGATCCCAAGATCTTCCTTAGATTGTGTTGGGCTCAGGAGAAATCAAAAGTAGTGTTTGTAAACTCAAGGGGTGTGCGTGCTTCTTTTGAAGAAAAATAGTTGTCTAGCTCATTCATGCTGCCTTCTATAATCTGTATTGCTGATGTCTTCAACCTGATGTTCCGGATTTTGAATGTACATTGGACCTTTCAGAAAATGTCTAGCAAGTTTCTTGTCCCGCCTATAGAACATCAGCCTATCTATATTGTAAAACTGTCAGTGTCTCGGGAACATAAATGGGCCCTGCAAGTTTTCAGAGGAAATAAAAACGATGGGGATTTGTATTCAAACTTTGGAGTTGAACAATTCACCTTCTACTATTAAAAAGGACAAAAGTAAATAAGGACAATACGGAGCATCCTGCTAGATAAGTATGTGAGTGAAGGAGGTAGTAGCTAAGATTCTGATAAATTAGTAGTATGTAACTCTTTGCCTCCCATGCCAGCATTTTATTAATGAGCAAGCACCTCCAGCAGATATTGTGAGGGCACTTCTAAACTACCAGCAGAAGAAAATCTGGAAGAACCAGAAGATTCCACCAACCAGTCTCTCCTAACAAATTTTATTTTTGAGGAGTGGGGAGGGGAGCAGCTACTACTGAAATTATCAGCGTATTACAATATTACAATTGTTAAAGCCTTACTGCTCTTCCTATTAAAATGTGAGGAAAGATTTGGAACCTGGATTATGCCCCATTTTGAAATGGACGCTGTAGAGATGGGAAAGAGAAATAAGGATTGGGAAGTTATATAACTTTCTACGGAGGAATTATTGAGTCTGTCATCTGCACCTCTATAACTGTCTGGTTTGGTTCTGCAGCCCAACAGGACAGACACAGAGTTCAACAGATAGTTAGGATTACAGAAAAAACAATTACTAGCAACCTGCCTTGCATTGAGGACTTGTATACTGCACGAGTCAAAAAGAGGGCTGTGAAAATATTTACAGACCCCTCACATCCCAGACATAAACTGTTTCAACTCCTTCCCTCAAAACGACGCTATAGAGCACTGCACACCAAAACAACTAGACACCAGAACAGTTTTTCCCCAAACGCCATCGCTCTACTAAACAAATAATTCCCTCAACACTGTTCAACTATTTAAGTCTGCATTACTATCACTATTAATCTTTTCATTACTGCTATCACCATCCCTTCCCACTTGTGACTATATGACTGTAACTTTGTTTCCTTGTATCCTTACAATTTATATTGACTGTTTCCTAGTATGAGTTGATTGCCTATTCGTACCCCATGACTACATTAAGTGTTGTATCTTATGATTCTTGACGAATGTATCTTTTCTTTTTATGTACACTGAGCATATGCACCAAGACAAATTCCTTGTGTGTCTAATCACACTTGGCCATAAAGAATTAATTAATTAATAACAGTTACCAGCAACATTGGGGCTTTTAATCATTTTTCTTAAAAGGCAGTTGGATCACTAAAATCATACCTAGTTTGGAAAAATTTATTTCTCAATCTCCTATAATGACAGAACCTTTGGTCGTCCAATGTAATACAAGAAATATAGGCTATACAAATGGATGGTCTTTTTCACTCAGAACAGAATTAAATTGAATTCATTGCCACAGTTTACAGTAAAGACAATTAATTAATTCTCTCAATAGCTGCTATTGATTTATGCAAATTCAAGCATAGAAGTAGCATACTTTCAACATTAGCTGAAAAGCTGTAAGACGAATAGGGCATTGCATTAATCTGCACGTTTTTAAAAATAGCTGGCTGAAATCTAAGAGCAGACTGCCTTCCTTCTTTCCTTCCTTCCTTCCTCCCTCCCTCCCTCCCTCCCTTCCTTCCTTTGGCTATAAGTTGTTCAAATAGTAGCAATCTGAAAGTTTGCCATGTTTATGTGATCAATAAGAGATGACAATTTCTTGATAGCACATAAACAAACAATATTAATTTTAAAATCTGCAACTGACTTCCAGGCTGCCCAACTTTTTTGCAGGTGCTTTCATATATAGATAATTGGTCTGATGATTTAGTAATTGTCCAACACTGGGCCTTTTAGATTAAAGCTGAGTTTCAACTTTTAATGAAATTTTCAAAGATTATCTTAGATTAATCGTAAAGAGTTAAGAGCCCTTAACTTATAGCCATTCATTTAACAACCATTTAGATATGGTGGGGCTGAAAAAAAGTGGCTTACGACTGATCCTCACGTTTTTTGGTTGCAGAAATATTCTTATCTGTACATTCTTTGTAAAACGAATAAATTACTAAGTAGATGTATTTCTATATTTTTCTAAAATACGTAACTTGATAAATGCCATTACTATATAAATAGCTACATATTTATTTAATATTCCTTAAAGCTGCTGAAATACTAATCTTGAGGGTGCCAGTTTAATTTACCATGAAGATATAGCATCAATCCATCAAACATTTTTGTTATGATATAGCAGCCAAATTGCAATCTAGTCTTTAAGACTGTGCTCAATGAACATCATATTTTGGCAACAAACCCTGTGGTGTGCCATTACTGAGGCAGGCTTTCTAAAAAACCATTACACTTTTGAAAAGAGCTTCTGCATTTATGAAACATTTAAGTTTATCTTTCCCTTCTCTGCCTCCTCCCATCTCCATTCTTTGCAGCATCTGGTTTTCATCGGCCAATGTGTATTTTAGATTTCATTACATTATACTCAACATGTGATATAGCACTCTTAAAAATTCAGACCAAAGAGAGTTGCTGGGTATATTAAATATTATTCATATCCGAATGAAATAAAAGAAAGAAGGAATTAGTGGTTTTGGCTGAATATTAAATTAGGAATTGTAAAAACTTATGAAAAAGATTATAGAGCAAAGTAATTTTAAAAAATAATATTCAATTAGCATTTGAATATATGCTAATATTAATTAAAATGGGGAGGGGTTTGCAATGGGTCAGTGGTTAAAGATACAGAGCTTGTCAGCTGCAAAGCTGGCAGTCCAGGTTCGAGACCCGAGTGCTCCAAAATGGGATGAGCTCCTGTTACTTGCCCCAGCTCCTGCCCATTTAGCAGTTTGAAAGCATGCACATGCGAGTAGATTAATAAGTACCACTTCAGTAGGAACATAATAGTGTTCTATGTGACTTTGGAGAATAGCCATGCTGGCCACATTACCATGGAAAATGTATTCAGACAATGCTGGCTCCTTTGGCCAAGAAACAGAGTTAAGCCCTACTCCCCTAGAGATAGACATGACTGGACAAGGAAACCTTTACTTTTCTATTAATCAAAATATACACATTGAGGATACCGTTATTAGTGTTCTACAAATAGTTACTTGTGATAGCTCTCCCATGTTCTCCACCCCAAGAGGGATGAAAGCAACAGGAAAGCAAAGTGATTAAAGTCCTTTTCAAAAAAAAAAAAAAGGCAAGAAGAATGCATGCATGCAGATTAATGTTTGGTTTGTCTGAGCAACTGGTTCATGAATAGGTAGGTAGCATGTTATCCCCTGCTGCACTGTATTTCTAAACCCCCAAAAACATTTTCAAAAAACACTGCATGCTTAAAGCTCATGCAAAAAAAAAAAAAGCAAAATGGAATGCTCTGCACGTTAATAGGGAAAACTCAAAATGGCCACAAAACACAATACTGTGGGAACCAGTGTCCTGTGTTCTTTACTATTTGCAGTAGTCTTGGCATTTTCCACCATGGATCCTATATCCGTTGCTGATATATTTTCAGGTGCATTTCAAGATGTTGGGATTCCCTTTCAAATCCTACATGCTTTAGAACCTATGGCACGCGTGCTGGAAGTAGTACGCAGAGCCATCTCTCTGGACATGCCAGCTGTTTTCCATTTCTCTTCTGGGTTCCGGCGTGTGTGTTCTTTACGTGCGTGAGCGCAGGAAACCGGAAGAGCAGTTGCATGCGTGCACCAGGAAGCTGAGTTTTCAGTTTCTGGTGTGTCCATGAGTGCCAGCCACATGCTTTTCACGCACGCATGTATGCCAGAAACCAGAAAACCAGGTGGCTGGCATGCATGTGCACTGGGAAGCTGCTTTTCCGGTTTCCGGCACTCCTGCGTGCATGCCAGGGAGATGCTCTTCCAGTTTCCAATGCTTATGCGCACACTCTCATTTTGGCACTCAGTACTGAAAAGGTTTGCCAACATTGCCTTAAAGGCTGATTGAGATCGATTACTCTAAACAAAGCCTAAAGAGATAGAGTGCTTATACAGAGTGCTTGCTTTCCGTTCCTTGTTAAGATACAGTGTTTGAAGATGTTTTTAACAGGAGAGTAGCTCCTGCACTCCTGCCAGCTATAAGATTTCTACCCTCACTTTTCCATCATGCATTTGGGGACAGAGACCTATGTAGGTAGCAGTATTGGGGAACTGATGAGGTTTTGTCTGGCACTATATATGGTATTGTTTTATGATTTTATGTGCCAACTCAGAAAGCTGAAACTGCCCAAGGAGCTGCTGATACAGTTCTACAGAGGAATTATTGAGCCTTGTCATCTGCACCTCTATAACTGTCTGGTTTGGTTCTGCAACCCAACAGGAAAGACACAGACTTCAGAGGATAATTAGGACTGCAGAAAAAACAATTACTACCCACCCGCCTTCAATCGAGGACCTGTATACTGCACAAGTCAAAAAGAGGGCTGTGAAAATATTTACAGACCCCTCATATCCCGGACTTAAACTGTTTCAACTCCTTCCCTCAAAACGACGCTATAGAGCACTGGACACCAGAACAACTAGATACAAGGACAGATTTTTCCCAAAAGCCATCATTCTGCTAAACAAATAATTCCCTCAACACTGTTCAACTATTTACAAAGTGTGCACTACTATTTCTGTTAATCTTCTCATCACTCCTTATCACCCATCCCCTCCCACTTGTGACTGTATGACTGTAACTTTATCACTTGTATCCTTACAAATTATATTGACTGTTTCCTAGTATGATTTGATTGTTGATTGTACTTTATGACTATCTTTAGTGTTGTACATTATGATTCTTGATTCTTAACGAATGTATTTTTTCTTTATGTATACTGAGAGTATTTACACCAAGACAAATTCCTTGTGTGTCCAATCACACTTGGCCAATAAAGTATTCTATTCTATTCTATTTCATGTTTGCTTGTATTATTATTTGATAAAATTGACTATTTTTATGATTACTGTATTATTTTATATTATGTTGCTGCTTGTCAACCACTGAAACATTATAAAAACATTATAAATAAATAATACATACCAAATCTTCTGCTGTCACAGGTTGCCCTTTTGTGTTATTAGCAATTACAATCTTTCCCAGTCTCTCTTTCATATCAGACAAGCTACTGGTTAATGCTAATATTGCCATTATTTCACTTGCAACAGCTATATCAAACTGAGTCTGTGAACAGAAAAGGAAAGTTATAGAAAATAGACATTCAAAGCTCATAACTAGATCTCCTGCATGCCTAGCATAGTCTCACAGCTGTCAGACTGGGAAGTTAAAAAAAAAAACAATAATACCCAGAAGATCATGGAAACCACTTGCATATTCTTGCTAAGAAAACAACAAAACAATCTGCAGTTTTTTTAGACACCATGTATAGCTCACTTGTATTTTTATATTTTATATTGTTTTTATTTTGTATTTATTTTATATTGTTCTCTACTGTTCTATAAAGCTCAGCAAGATCAGCATGGTGCTAGGTAACATCCCAAGAGCTAAGTACCTACCTGAGTGCTAGGAATGGTGGCTAAATGGTTTGATCCGTGTAGCCCTAGGGAAACCTTATATAACATACTCTCTCATTCAACGTAGTAAAGGACAACATTGCCTTTATGGTTATTTGGAAGACCAATTCCTTATCTAGTTAGTTTTTTAGCTATGTTTATAGAAAGAACTAGGACCACCTGCCAATCACATTAAGCTTGAAGGAGGTTGTATATTCCATATGATATCTTTCTCTTATATTTACAGTGGAACCTTGGGTCATGACCATAATCCGTTCCAGGACTTCGACTGCAACCAGATTTGGTCGTGACCGGAAGCACGACCCTCTGCACATGCGTGGACAAAAAAAATTGGCACCTGGCACTAAAGGGGAAATCACTGCAGCGGGGAAAATCGCTGCGGCTGTGTCTGGTCACCACCCGAAGATGTGTTCACGACCAGAAACAATTTTGCCAAAAATACTGGTCGTCACCCAATTTGGTTGCGAACAGAAGCATTTGCGATCTGAGGTTCCACTCTATTTTGTTTAGCAATAGGCTCTTAAGTGTTCTCAAGAGTATACTCAAGGTGGCCGTTTCATCCATGTCATTTTTGAGTTAATTTATCAATACATAAATACCATTGAGTTCTATTTCTACATATTTTTTCAAATTCTATCTAATTCTATGCTGAAATGAAATTATTCCTATGCTATTAAAAGCGGATTGAACTCCTGGAATTAACATCAGTTATGTTTAACAGAAACAGAAATAATTATCTTAAACTGTATGTCAAGTTATGGTGAAGATTTATTCATTTCTAAGCCTTCGTATATCAATTTACTGAAATAATAGCAGGAACAGAGCATCATAAAGTCTACATGAAATTTAATCTCAAACATACAGTGTATTGGAACTTTACTTACCTGGCGAGAAAATCCCTTCTCTGTATTTGCTTGGCCAATTGTTATTTTTCTAAGGAATCTATCATTTGTATCCACCACTGAAAGGAAAATAAATAGTTGAAATATTTACTAAAGTATCAAAGCTTCTGTTTTTCTACGAGAATTGGGTGGGAAATGTTTGCACATGTCACCTTGTTAATATGTTATAAATATAATTTAAGTATCCACATATTTCATTATCTTTAATGTATGTTATTCTTTTGAAACGCTATGGAAGCGTGGAACTGTAGCAGGACAGAATAACAATTTTTTGCATGGTTGAATTTTGCTGCAAACTTATACATGGGACTAGAATAATGACATTTTTTGCAATACGATTATAAAAATATTTAAAATATTCATTCCGGAGTGTAAATTATTAATATTTTAACATAAACACAAAGTCAAAAGTGTCAGAGTATATTCATGAACTGGAACAGAGCTTAGTAACAAGGTCAGCCAATGAGAGCTGAATTGAGGGCTGAAACTTAAAGAGAGAGTCTAGGCGTGGCTCTATATATTAAGCTCTGCAGCTCTGAAGCTATGTTAAGTTCTGAGTCTGTCTGTTGAAAATGAAACTGCTTCTCTCCTCTGCTTGCTCGCTGAAAACTAGTGTACAGCTCTAAAGTGAAAGAGAAACTAGCTTGCTTGCTGAAAATTAGAGCTCTGCTCTGAACCTGTAACATGTCTGCTTGTGTTTGAGTTTGCTCCATGTTGGAGAAATCTACAACTTGTATTGTAAAATTTACTTAATATGTTTATAAAGATGTTAAATGAACCATCAGCCATCATAGAATACTTTACTGGCCAAGTGTGATTGGACACACAAGGAATTTGCCTTGGTGTATTTTCCTGGCGCTGAATTTATGCTGCAAAACTCTGAAGAAAAAGGCATTTCAAAATATTGCTTAGCAAAATCACATAAAAAAACCTTCTATAAAATTATCTTCACTAAACTTTGTCTATAGGAAAACTTAACTTTTCAGCGACAAAGATAGAATGACCTCTTCTTAGAATTCCCCCCAAATTGACCATTTTTCTGAACATTCATCATTGGAATCTCATTTTTCAATTAAAACAATCCAAATTACCCTTGGAGCCAATAATGGTTGGAAATAAAGATAATTTAACAAATTTAAAGACTCTATTAATATTTGGATGACAGATTTCCAGGGAACACCAAAACTCTAGGTTAGACTGTTAGACAAATAAAAAATAAAAGTCCCAGAAGAAGGCAGATCATAGTGCTATGGAGAAAACAACACTGACATGTCCATGAAGTTACCAGGAGTTAAAATTGACTTGAAAGAGTCTTTACCTTTACATTTAGGTGAACAATGAGCATATTCTAAATGGTCTTTTTAAGTAATATGTTTTTATTCTATTTACCACCCAAATTTCCTTCTGGTAGAGGGGTGATACATTTGTTCAATAAAGAAATAAAATTAAAATTTGGAAGGACATGCTCTTCTACTGCAATGGAGAATGCAGACATTTAAGGAAGGCTTTTTGTTTATAAGACATTAGATGGTATTTAAATTCAATATGCATATGGAAAAACCACCACTAATGTACAAAAATCAAACAAGCTTTCTAAAATAACATTTTGTAGAACACAAATACAGAACATTTAAAAAACCCTTCGAGTTACAGATATTTTCTTGACTCTTTTGATTTTTATTACTCATTCTGGAAGGAAAACTATACCTTGCAACATCATGGAAGAAGAAAGCAATGACTAATTTACAGGGTGTTCCATGTTACATCTAAAATGGGGACAAGTTTATAATTTTTTGATAGGATGTATACATAGACAAGTAACCTAGATTTACCCTAGTGCAACCTAGATTTACCAAAGTGCATTATGTATTTGTTCTAGAATTACTTAGTATGCTAAATTCCATCTGCCAAAAATATACTTCTATTCTATGACCAAAATCAGCCTGTGACAGTCTTAGATTTGATGACAGCAGACAGCAAAGGGCCACATCCAGGAAGAGGTGCCTAGGCCCAGGGGTGGGTTTCTATCGGTTCTGTCCACCTCTGTAGAACCGGTAGCTCTGAAGAGCAGCAGACATCGAACCAGTTCTATGTCTGCTGATGTTTTTGCCCACCTGCCCACCTGGGCTCTTACCTGATCTTTATTTCCTGATTTTTCAACTTCAGCTGCCGAACGAGGCATAGCTGCAGTTAAAAAAGCAGGAAAAGAGGGTTGTTTCAAAGGCTGCGTCTCTGCACACAGCGTGCCGATGACGATTTACAGGCGCGCGGCTCACAGGGTGCAGGGAAGCTCGTAAATCCCGAACCGGTAGTTAACCCTGTCATATCCCACCCCTGCTTAGGCCCCTTCGAGACAAACAGAAGTCATGGCCAGTCAGGGACCTGATTACATGGAAATAGCATAAATATCTCCTACTAGCTACAGCAATCAATAAAACAATGAAATGTGTGTGGTTACGTCTTAAGGCAAACCCTCTCCTTTTGTATTTCTTGATATCAGAAAAAAATATGTCACAGGGTTGTACGCTCCTTCAACAAATTCCTACTGGAGAAACAGTCAACACCATTATTTATGATCCCTTCATCCAATTCTAAATGCAGGTTTTTCAGGAAATGGGACCTGTGAAAGTCATAAGTGGACTGCGACAAAAATACGCCATCCTAATACTTTCACACACTCACAGGATATGTATAATTTTGAGGAAGACCCACAATTTACATGCTTTGGCTTACCTATTATCAAGCCAGTGTTTATAATTGTCACCAACACTCTCCCATTTCCAGTTGCTATGGTATTATTATGAAAAACTAAGGAAATCAAAGATAGTTACACTACAGCTTTCCACCACAAATTGCGTATGCAAATTGTCTATGCTTTTATTCTGGGTGAGAGTGGGATTCTTATAGCAGGATCTTTCACATTGTTACATTCACCAAATTCGCTAAGAATTGCAAAAAGCTTAAGGAATGGGAAGAACATTTATATAGCTTTTATGTCGGGCGTTTGTGGGTCTTTAGCCCAGAGCAATAAAATCACTGAGTTAAAAGAAGGGGAACTTTTATCATATTTCCAGTTCTCAAAATTCAAAGTACAGAATATACAGGAAAAATCAAGACCATGCTTATTAACATGTTTCCAAAATATTAATCAGGATGTCAGATTTTGCTCTGCTTCCAGAGACCATTATCAGGTCACAAAAGATAGTTAAGCAAATGAACAGTTTTCTTTTCCTTTTCACTGAATAACTGAATCAGTTCTGAAAAGAAGCTTTTGTCAAAAACTGCATATAAAACTCTGCTTCTATCAAAAGTCATTGTTTATGTTAAGGTTGAAACTTTCCAGGAGGTATCTAGTCGATAACTTTATGCAAGAGAAAAGTAGACTAGATGGAGACACCTTTTGTTTAATACCTACCCCTTTGCCATGTTATTGTAGATGTGTCTATATCAAGTCGCACAAATTTGTTAATCTCATCTGCAGTTAATGTTTTAGGATCCATTTTGGTTATTCCGAGCCTCTAAAATCAAATAAAGAGAAAGAGATAGAGACAGATACAGAACTTATGTCAGGATTCTGGCAGTTACTCCCATTTAAATCATGAGTCTTGAGCCAAATTTCCAAAACTTCAAAAGGATTTATTGGGAGTTAAAATGTCCAGCACTGCCTGGGTGTAGCTGACTCTGAGACACATAATTCATTGTCACCCTTGACCCTGGTTTTCCCCCCACCCCCTGGGTGTATTGTAATTCATATTCTCCAATGGGACACATCCATAGCCAAGAGTCATCAATCATGTTCTCCAGTTAGAATTTTGCACAGCAGAAACTTCAGTCACGTAGTTACTATATTTGAAAACTATTTATGGAATGCACTTTCGGTTTCCAAGCTGCTGCACTGCTCCCCCCTTCCTTTCTGTTGGCAACTCTAAAAAGACCATAGATATATTTTATGAGCTGACAACTTACACATCTGACCATAGTACCCCTGTGCCCTATTCATGGCCTATAACTGCTTCTCATATATGCTAAATTGTGCCTACATGGCACCCAAAGCCTGATCGGATCCACTGTAGTTTTTCTTAATGTAGAAATCAATCAGGCAGTGGTTTATGCGACAGACATTCCAATAGACATTCCAGTTTTAATTTTCTTTTCCAGTGGAATAAGAAACAGGAGGAAAAGCAGCAGCAAGTATCAGTAATATATCTTGGGAACGAAGTGTGAAACAATCCATACCAAAAGTGTTTGAAAGATTATGAAACAAATCATAAGCCCCATCAAACTACTGTAATTACTGCATACAACGGAAGACAAATATGTCTATAGGATACTGGGTGGTGAAGGTCCTGTTTGCCCCAAGGAGCACAAAATTGAAGTTTAGCTATCTTTACAGTAAACCAGTTTATGAGAAGGAAGACCCTATATTTGGAGCAGAGACTCTTCAATGTAACAAAATATTCTGGATGCAGCTGCCTACAGAGCTCATCTCCCTGCTGTGGCCACCCAGTATACCTAGTAGCTGAACTGCTAATAAGAGGCTCAATAGAAGGCAGTTATTGAATCTCCAATGTATGTTGTTAAACAACTATCTTGAATGACCTGCTTAAGTAGATAAGGCTATTGTGAATGGAAAATGGGATAAGAGACTAATTTCTTTCCTAATTCTGTATCTCCAAGTATTCTGCAGCAGATATAAAAATAGAACTCATCTTATCCTGTTTTATTTTCAAGAAGAACTGGACAGTGCAAAATGCAAGTGAAAATCAAAAATAAAGAACATTTGCCTCTTGGAGTACTGTCTTATCAGCCACCCAATGCCATCCCATGGTTATCAAAAGTGATAGCTGGCCCCATAAATTAAGCTTTCATGTTATCTAAAACAACACGTTGCAATTATTATAATCAAGATGTGGTCTCAAACGTATTACAATTTGTATAATTATAATTTCCATTCTAAATTAAGTTCTTTCTCTTTCCTTCACTTTTTGAAAAATATGTTGGCCAGCATTTTAAGCAACTACAGTAATTTTAGCATTTGATTCGTGAAATTAAATTACATTTAATTTATACAAAATGTATGGCTGGATTGCTTTCCTCTGCAAGACTGAGAATCATAATCAAATTTAGTAATTCCCAGGGAAGACATTTAACTGTTAAGATAAACAGTTACCTGCCATTGTTTTACAATTCCAGTCTACTATTTGTAGTCTGTCAGTGAGAAAAATCAAGAAATTTCAGCAAGATATCTACATAATCTTTTCAGCATCCCCTACCCAAGTAATATGTGCCATTAATTTAAAGATTTCTCCAGCTTCTTAAATAACCCCGGAGCATATAATTATTCTGAATCTACCTTGCTTTTTGCATAGATGTGGGCAGTCTATACATAATCATTTCCCCCATCCCTATGTGGTGATTCAGAGCCTGGTGGTTTGCTTAGAGTTGAACAACCAAAGAGTATAAATATACTGTATTTAAAAGTCAATATTTTTATTCACTTCAAGGTTCTTTGAGTTGTAACTTAAAGCTATGAACCACTTTTTAACAGCAGTAAAAATGTAAGTTGCTGAAAGCACATGAAAATGCTTTCCCGTTCTCTTTTAGAGGAATTCCCTAACCCCATATAGAATTCCATATAATGGAAGCAAATAGTTACATTTAAAGGTAAAAGTAAATGTTTCCCCTGTCTAGTCAGGTATCACTCTAGGGCAGAGGTCTCCAAACTTGGCAACTTTAAGACTTGTGGACTCCTCAGGAATTCTGGGAGTGGGAGTCCACAAGTCTTAAAGTTGCCAAGTTTGGAGACCTCTGCTCTAGGGGGCAGTGCTTATCTCTATTTCTCAGTTGAGGGAGCCAGTATCGTCCCAAGATATTTCCATGGTCATGTGGCCAGCATAACTATATGCTGAGCTGCACAGAATGCTGTTACCTTCTCACCGAAGTGATATCTATTTATCTACTCGCATCTGCATGTTTTCGAACTGCTAGATGGACAGGAGCTGAGGCAGGCAACGGCGGGTTCACCTCATTGCGCAATGCTCAGGTCTTGAACCTGGGCTGTCAGCTTTCCATTTGACAAAATCAGCATCTTTAATCATTCTCCAATTACATTTACTTCATCCTATTTTTTGTGTAGCCAGGCCAGCCTTTATTAGAATCTCCTCTTCTCATTAAAGTCTGTATCAACTTCCCAAAGGTGCTTTTTCAAGAGGCAAGTGGACTTTCTGGTTTTTGTTTGAAGATGTTTTGTTTCTCATCCAAGAAGCTTCACTGAAGAGGACAGAAGCTGAAGAAGCTTCTTGGATGAGAAGCAAAACGACTTCAAAGGAAAACCAGAAAGTCCACTTGTCTTTTGAAAAAGCACCTTTGGGAAATCCAAACCAATGTTTTCCAAAATATTCTATAAGATATTAAAGAACTACTTACTTTCATGCGTGCAAGTTGTATAGCTGAAAATTTCCTTTCTCCATGGACTAATGGAACCAATCTATTATATAAGGCCTGTAAAGAATACAACAGTAAATATCAGTAAGGGAAGTGTTATTCCAGTCAGGTATTATAGACATAACTTTCTCTGTAATAATTCTGTTCAAGCTTTATATCCATGTTACGAAGCTCTTCTAAACATGCCTCCATTTACTGTAGCTTCTGAGAAAAATTTCCCCCTTTTTAAAAAGAAACAAAGCAAGTGTCATAATTAATAAAATGCACATGAATGGGAAAGGATGGCTTTGGCAAACAGACTGCCGAGTACTCCTCTGAAAAGCTGAACTGAAGACTAAAAAACTGAAAATACCACTGTGTGTCAGGTTTAGGGGGCAGAATTATTTATTTATTTTGTCAAAAGCTTACAACACAATAGAAATAAGAATAAACATAAATTTAAATATAGGAAACAGGAACTAATAATTGGGGACAATAGGACAGGGACAGTCGGCACAATTGTGCACTTATACCCGTCCCTTAATTACATTTAGTATAACTCCTTCCTTAAGTACAGCATTTATTTAATCACCCCTCCCTCGGTCCTCTTGGAGAATTTATGATAGGGAATCTAATTTTTTTCCTTGCCTAATACCTTAAATAGTCTGGCCCTGGAAACTAAGTCTGTTCTTATTTATGTAGCAGATTGGAACTAATTTTTGAGTCACACAAATGGAGTTTCCACCAGCTTGGTTCCCTCCCTAGTATTGAATTGCAACTCCCAGAACTGAGAGGTGGCCATCATTTTGCCCTGGAGTTCCCATTCTTTTTTTGAGCCAGATGTAAAAGGAGAAAGGGAAAATCAAACTAAAGCTTACGTAATGTTGAATCTAAACCAAGAACTTAGTCAAGCCTAATTCTATCTAAATTCTATGCATTTCAAGAGAAATATTTGACCCAACAGTTATTTCAACTTCAAAATGCCTTTTATGAGAAAACACAGTAGGTATAACAATCAAATGTAGTCATTAAATGTGACATGTCACAATTAAAAGACTGTCCTGGAGGTCATGGGGCGTATCTTTTCCAGCTCAAAAATGTATGTATATTTATGGGATCACTATCAATGGTGCTACATACCTATCTTTCTCAAAATAAGAATACCTGAACGGGCAACTTGGCCTCTGCATCCCTCCAGAATTTTGGGCTATTTCTAATAATATATCATGGGTCCAGGATAGCAAATTTAATGTGTCAGATTTCATATTATACTGTCTGATGCAAACTTTCCATAATTGCACGAGCACAACAAACAGTTTTTAAACTAAACAAGCAGAAATGAAAAGATGAGCTTCTGAACCACAAAAAAGCTTTCTTCATTGACAAATCTCAAAGCCAAGGCACTAGGGCAGCACAGGTGTTCTTCCTGATTGCGAAATGTTTAGGGGCATTATTTTCTTGTTGGTAATCCAAAAATCTGAATAGGGACACAGTGGCTCAGTGGCTAAGATGCTGAGCTTGTTGATCAGAAAGGTCAGCACGTTGGCGGTTCGAATCCCTAGCACCACGTAATGGAGTGAGCTCCCGTTACTGGTCTCAGATTCTGCCAACCTAGCAGTTCGAAAGCAGGTAAAAATGCAAGTAGAGAAATAGGGACCACTTTGTTGGGAAGGCAACAGCGTTCTGTGCTCCTTCTGCATTTAGTCTTGCCAGCCACATAACCACGGAGACATCTTTGGACAGCGCTGGTTCTTCGGCTTTGTAACGGAGATGAGCACCACCTTTACCTTTACCTTAAAAACAGAGATTTCTGCCCACTACAGGTAGTCCTCAACTTACAACAGTATAATTTAGTGACTGTTCAAATACAATGGCAATGACTGTTCAAAGTTACAAAGAAAGTGATTTATCAGCATTTTTCACACGTATGACCATTGCAGCATCTCCATGGTCAAATGATCCTGGTTTAGATGCTTGGCAAGTGGTTCCTATTTACGATGGTTACAGTGCCCCAGGGTCATCTGATCACCTTTTGTGGCCTTCTGACAACAAAGTCCATGGGGAACCTAGATTCACTTAATGACCATGTTACTAACTGCACAATTGCAGTGATTAACAACTTAACAACTGTGGCAAGAAAGGTCATAAAGTGGGGCACAACTCACTTAACAAATGTCTCACTTAGGAAGAGAAATTTTGGGCGTAAGTCAAGGACTAACTGTATAGCACAAGTTCACTGAGTCCTAATCAGACTTCTGGGGCAGGGAAACAAATCCATTTGCAAGGTTTTTCAACTCTGGTTAAATTGAAGACATATGGATTTCAACTTCCAGAATTCCTCAGTCAGCATATACTGATTGGGGAATACTGGGAGTTGAAGACCACATGTCTTAAAGTTTGCCACGGTTGAGAAGCCCTCAATTAATGTTTACAAACATGAGTAGGCACTACCTCCTTTTTTTGAAAATAGTAATAGCCCCAAGGCCAAAACTGCTGTACATGTATTGTTTTTAAAAATCATGGTAGGATCAGAAAGGGGTTGAAGCTTTGAATCATTCTGTCATCATTAAAAAAAACCTCTCCTTCATAATAGGAAGGAAGGAAGAAGGAGGGGAGGGAGGAAGGAAGGAAGGGAGGGAGGAAGGAAGGAAGGAAGGAAAGGAAGATTTACAGGGAACAAAGCAAGGGAAAAAACCAACTTTTCTTTTCTTTTCTTTTCGAAGTCTCAGACCTTCAAACTCCTAGCGGTCAATGATGAAATATTTGAAATGGTTTTAATTATTATATTCTCAAAATTGCATTTCACAGCAAATTACCGTGGAATGAAGGATTATTCTTACCTTATCAGACTGAGTGTTCTCGTGTAGTGTCCTAGCGTCGATGGCAGCAGCCAGCAAATTATTTGCTGCAGTAATGGCATGAATATCACCAGTTAAGTGAAGGTTGAACTATATAGGAATGAAATATGAAAAAGACATTCTTTTTGCACACTCCATTAAACTAGTGTCAGTTGTTTCAACCCACCCAAACATTCACTTCTGGGATTAGTAGTTCAGATGAGCAGTTTGAAATATTATGGAATCATAACTGTCGTGATTGAAGTGATTTACTACATTATAGATGATCCCAGTTCTGTGTTCAATAACTGAGTTCTCATGACCTAAGCAGAAATTCATACAGGAAAGTTGAAAATGTTACTTTTTTAATGTGGCAGGCTGTGGGTGATTTGCACAGATCCATTTAGAAATCATTTTGACTTATGATTTGGATAAAGAGGAACAAAAATGACATGTGTTTTAAAATAACTATGAAACTATCTCAGACTCTGTAAGAAATCTGGGTGGCAAGTAAAACTTTTCATATGTTTTCTTAATTGAAATGTTTAATTAATATCCCTGAGAAAATTAATCCAATGAATGAATGAGTCTGTTCAGGTGTCTGTCTATCATCTACCTACATAATTTATATAGCCACATATCTCACAGAACAAGTGATACAAGTTAAAACAATCAATAAACACCCACAAATGTTATTACAATTATTAACAATTAAAACATCTACAAAAAAAAGCTAAAATAAAATTTAGAAGAAGGGACTAGCTCACTCACTCCCTTGGGTCACCAGGCCTGGTGATACAACCGAGTCTTGAGTGACCTTCAGAAGCTCAAAGAGATGAGGCCAACCTTACCTCAGTGGGGAGAAAAGTCCACACAATTTCGGCACTACTTCAGAGAAGGCCCACTCTCTATGGTCCACTAAAAGTAACTTCCTAGATGATGAAACCTGTAACTTGCCCTCTCTACTAGATCTAGCGAGACGGGCAGATGAAATTGGCCAGAGGTGGTTTCCAAATAACGTGGCCCCATGCCATAAGGGCTTTAAAGTTCAACACCACCACCTTGAATTGGGCCTGGAAATAAATTGGATACCAAAGCAGCTCGTGAAGTGTAATTGCTTGTTCCACTGTATTTTGCACCAGCTGAATTTTCTAGATGCTCTTCAAAGGCAGCCCCATGTGGACTGCATTGCGGTAGTTTAACTGAGACATGACTAGGGCATGAGTGACCATGAGTAGAGCCCCTTGATCTAAGATCACATGCAAACCGCTACACAAAATGAAATTTTCAGGATAGACCCTGGTATAAGCAGAGGAAGGTTGATTTTTGGGGGGCGGGGGGCACTAGAAACTAGCGAGTCACTTCTTTCTAGGACTGCCTGGCTTAACCCTTGTATTTGGAAGTTCTTCTTGTGTCTGAATCTGGGATGTCCTGCAATGTTATCAAAGATGAAATGTGTACCCCAACTCAGGCAGCAAATTATCTTTGCCCAAACTGGTCATTATTTAAAAATTAAAGTTGGGTTGCTATTTAAATTAATTTCACAGAAGAATCATTTCTGTGCCTTTACTCTTTCTCAATGCAGAGGACAATTAGTTTTCCAAGGCAAATATTTGTTTACCTCCTCCATGGGTATGACTTGAGAATATCCACCTCCTGCTGCTCCTCCTACACAATGAAGAGAACATGTTAGCAAACTGTGGGTGATAGAGGTCATGATTTCCCCTCATTTCAACCTGACATTCCTTCCTTGCTCAGCTCAGGATTATGATCAGGAAGCTAATCCAATTTTCTTATATCAGATTTGGATTGCCTATTGTCTCCAGCATCTTTTGGGTCTGTGAGAACACCTCAGAAAACCCTTGGAACAGGGTAAACGTTTGGTGAATTTGGAAAGGTTTGAAGGATTGCAAGCATTTGAAGGTTAAAACTCAGGAGACCGCCAACACCTTTTCCAAACTAACACACTGTATTAAAAGCATCAGCTTTCCTCAGCTATAGCTTCCGGGATTTAAGGAATGAAACAAATTTATTCTTCTCAAATTGGCTTCCTTTTCATACGGGGAGGGGAGTTTAAAAAAACAAACACTGTGTCTAAAACTTAAGGTGATGTAATGAGCTGTGAAAATAGCCTTGAGAGGCAAGAATAAGAGTCATAGCCTAGAGAATAGTCTGACAAACAACATTTGAATCCAGAGGATTAATGGGGTGCAAAAAGTGTCTTAGAAGAGACATTTCCTAATTCTCTGGAAAGTAAAGGTAGGGAAGGGGAGAAGTGCGTTCATTTTCAAATTTGCAAGATGCTACTGCAAACTTAGAATAAGGGTAGTATTAGTAGCCATGGTTTTGGTTTTTTGTGTGCACTACCTTACAAACAGCTAAAACGGGGCTCTCTAATTTTGACAACTATAAGACTTATGGTTTCCAACTCCCAGAATTCCCCAGCCAGCATGGAGGGCCAAGGAATTCTGGGAGCTGAAGAACACAAGTCTTAAAAGTTGCCAGGTTTGGCAACTCCTGTGTTAAGCCATTTCAAAAAGTCCGCAACTTTTGGCCCTATCTTCTCTGTCAATAACATGATGCCACCAGCCAACCCTCCTATGATTTTCAAACTGCCTGCTCTTCTTTGAGAAAGTAATGCTTACCTTTAACACCAAAAGTAGGTCCTTGAGAAGGCTGTCTCAGGCAGGCAAAGGAATTTATTTTAAGGTGGGCTGTCAGTGCTTGGACCAAGCCAATTGTCACAGTGCTCTTCCCTTCTCCAAGGGGTGTCGGCGTAATCCTAACAATATAAAACAATACATCAAATTCCATCAATAGGTCTGCTGGTTCTAGCCTAAATAGGGAAATTTCAATCAAATAATGATATTTTACCATTCTTATGTAAAAAATCATCCAAGCAGAAACATATGCCAATCGTAGAATAAAACAGAAAGAATATAATCTAGGATGATATATAAATTAGACAGCAATTAGTTCTGATAATTAATCATACTAGACCTTTGAACTGAATCATAGTACAGTTGTGAACAATAGGGATACATCAATGCATCTATACCTCCTACCCAAATTATTATTTTGTATTATAAATTATTGTTTTAGCAAAAATAAAATACAGTGAATCACAATATCAGTAAGAAAGGATTTCTCAAGCTTTGCAGTGCTATGATCCATTATAATTCCATATAGGCTTGACCTTTATCATCATTCAGATATCACCCAAGAATCTGCTCTAAATAATAAAATTGAACTAAAGGTTAAACCCCTAAGAACCTGGGGAAATGCAGTGATTTTGAAATGCAAGGCTGGCAGGGAAAAAAATCTTTCATACACTGAAATCTCTTTTTGCTGGATGGCATTTCTTGATAATAAAAAAAAAATAGAAATTTGGATGACTGAGGACATATGAAAGAACAGCTTAATAATCTTCTTGAGTGTGAACAATGAAGATACAAGAGTTAGCGATTTTCTTTAATTATTTCCCTCTTTTTAAACATAGTTGATATGGTATACAAAGCATTACCATTTGAGAGATACCATGTGCAATCAAAATTCACTGGCAATATTTCAGCTTAGAATTGGCTTGAGGTAAATCAAAGTTGTGCCTACTGTCCTAAGAGTTTCTGAAGTGATAGTCACTAGCTTCAAAATGGCAGGCACCATTAGGTGATTGAAGCTCTGCCTCCCTTTAACATGTGAATATGTTATAAAGCGTGGAACTTCAATGACCTGGTGACATCCATCACTTTAAAGTGGTGATTGGTGAGTGGTTAGAATGCAGTAGTGCAAGCTACTTCTGCTGACTGGCGGCTGACTGCCGTTCAGCAATTCGATTCTTACCAGCTCAAGATTGACTCAGCCTTCCATCCTTCTGAGGCCAGTAAAATGAGGACCCAGATTGTTGGGGGCAATCTGCTGACTCTGTAAACTGCTTAGAAAAGGCTGTAAAGCACTATGATAAGTCTAAGTGCTATTGTTAATGCCCTTCTACCATCTGACTGAATAAAAAGAGGCATATCTATAATAAAGAATTCTCATGGATAAATCTCAATTACGCACAACATTCTATTATAAATGATTAAACAGAAGTTAAATTCTTCAATGGATACATAAGCTGAAGAGCTGTTTTTCTCACAATCGCTAAGGTTAGGTTGTCAGTAGAGCCAGGTATCCATAATATGACTAGAATATAGTCTTTGGGGTTCTCAGTTTTAATGAAATGTTCCTTTATGATTTTTTTATGTTTTGCATTGTGAACTATGCACACAAGATTGAGCTGGACAGCTGGGTAAATTCATTTAATCAATAAATCCCAGTATTTTCAGAATGATTAGAGCAAATGTACCAACTCATATTTTTCCTGCTCTGCATGGATATACTAGCTATCCAGAAAGCTTGGTGATGCTCCTGTTCAGGTTCTGGTTTTATCAGTGCGTGCAAGAAATGATTCCCTTTAGATGTTCTCCAGATTTACCTTACCATTATGCCTGAAGAAGCCCTCTTCTTCAGGCAAAGCAATAAAAATGTGAGCTTTTGCTGTGCTATTATCTGTTCAACAAATTAACCAGCTGTCAAGAACTCAATCAAACAGAGCTTAATAGCTCAATAGCACACCCAATATTCCTGACTACAGCCCCTCAAATTTCTGAATTGTATGATCTTAAAATGATATTTTAATTCAATATATTTTACTGGTGTTAAAGGAAGTCACATGAATCATATGCTAACAATACAGCAATGTTGTCTTTTTTAACAATTAACAATTTTCAGTGTATACAATTAATTTCACAAGTTCCCTATAAATTCACCCCCCAATGGGAAATATAGGACGTTTCCAGTTTCCAATGGCCAATGGCAATATTTTGGGACTTAGAAAAACTGCAGTCTAGAGAGCTTGCTTAGAAAATGATGGATATTCCATTCTTACAGACTGCCCAAGCATCTTATTCTTCATCCACCTCCATCTTACTGATACTGTTCCTTGCAGAGGATTGTGAAATATAAACAAATACTATAAAATCGCCATGCAGATATTTGTCGGTTCTCCAAACTACTCAAAATTTCTGCTACCAGTTCTCCAGTGGCCTATTACGAAATCAACGATTAGTATTTTCCTTTTAAAATAAAAGTGCCAGACTCAATTTGGCTCAGATTAGTGTACATTAGTTTAATATACAGCAGTGGTCCCCAACCTTTTTTGTACCAGGGACCAGTTTCACGCAGGAACACATTTTCAAGGACCGGTTAGGGTTTTTTATTTATTTATTTATTTTTTATTATTTATGTACTTATTTTTATTTTTTATTTTATTTACTATTACACTATCAACTCACCAAAATTAACCAATGTTGGAGGATTACTAAAAATGTGTATAAATGCAAGACTAGACTCCAATAAAGTCATCATGATTCAGTTGAGCATGATCAAACAAAAATATATGTTTGGCAAAAATATATGTTTTCTCCAAAAGCGTTTTGTAAGGTAATAATCCGCAATTCAGATTTTACATTTAGGATGGGTTTGATCTCCCATATGGTCTTCAGCTTTCCACAATCTCAACAATTGTAAGGTGTGTGGGGAATTCAGAGAGTCCAAGTCCACACATTTTAAAGTTGTTGAGGTTCAGAAATCCAGGCATATAAGGAATTCCGGGGATTCATTCCAAATACCTGGAGAGCCCACTTCTTTCTGGATCTCTCTCGCCCCATTTTGCTGCAACCCCTTGGCAAGCAGAGCATTGTCTAGAATTCTTCCAGCTGAAATAAGACTTTCAATTACCTGGGAATAAATCCATATTAAACCAGTCAAACTTTTAGTAGATATTCACTGTGTAGCTTGGCTAAAGCAACATTCTGCCCTGTGTGTTTTAGGATTCTCGACTCTTTCGCTCTCTTCTCTTCTCCTCTCCCGGTTGTTTCGGGTGGCGACTGCCTTCGCCCGGCGCCTTTTGTCGTGTACCCTCATCCTCCCCCGGCTGACAGCTCCGCCGCCACCTCCGAGCCATGGCCCCAGTGCCCCTCTGGCACCCCAGACAAGTGCAGGGCTGCTTTTGGGGGCTCCCGCGAGGGGTCTGGATCTGAGCCCCTTCATTCCACCCCACTCCAGCTTTCAGCTCACACGCCTCTCTCTTGCTTTCGCTCTCGCTCCCTTTCCCCAGGCGGAAAGAGGTGCTTCGTGGCGGAGCCGCTGGGGCGAGCTTTCTCCCCACCCTGCGTTCCTTTCTCCCTCAGGCCGCCGACTGGTGCTGCTGAGGGCAGACTTCGAAACAAGATGGTGCCCAAGCAAAGTAGGCAGCCCAGTCCAAAATGATCCACGGACCGGTAGTGGTCCGGGGACTGGCGGTTGGGGACCCCTGATATACAGCATAGCATAACTGACTATATTCAGTTCGCCTCCCCAAATTTCTTCTGTTAAACACAATTTACATCTTTTGTGAGTTCAGTGAATTCAAAGATATATACAAATATTCAGATACAAGCTTATAGAGTGTAATGAATTAATCTCTGAAGCAAGGTAGATTCTTTTCAAAATCAAACCTAAGTTTGAACTAGATTTTTTTGTCTATTCCAAAAATCTAACTAATTAATTTCCAAATAAGAATTAAAATGGAACTGCATCATGTAAATTATTTTATCAATTTTGTCACACACTAAAATATGGTCAGAATTTAATCCGTCTTGGCTAAAAATGATATTTTATATTTAAAAAATATATTGAAAATATTCCAGATATTTTATTTTTATTAGCTAATATTAATCAAAATGTTAAAAATGTGTTTATTCTTCTGTTGCATGCTGAGACACATTGAAGTCATTATTCACAGTCAGTGTTTCAATTAAATTTCACTCATACCCACGTCTATTTTTATACCTATCTAGCTATCAATCAATCAATCCATCATTTACTCCCAGTAATTTTGAGATTATGATTCTTTTTAAATATTATTTTATTAATTGTTTTAGAAAAGGATATAAATCACAATATATGAAAGACACATAAAGAGAATTAAGAGTAGAAAGAAATAAGTAAACACATGGTCTATAATTATAGACCATCATATGGTCTATAATGTCATGAAGATTATAGTTTTTCAACATATCCTTAATTACTACAAAGTAATAAAAATGAGTACAATACAGGCATATCTCAGAAACACTGTGTTCAGTTTCAGACTACCACAGTAAAGCAAATATCACAGTAAAATGAGTCACACAAATGCTTTGGTTTCCCAGTGAATATAAAGATATGTTTATACAGTGAACTGTAGCTTACTAACTGTGCAATAGCATTAGCTCAAAAAAATCCCTCAATGTACATGTCTTAATTAAAAAAAATACTTTATTGCTAAAATATGCTAATCATTACCCGACCTCCAGTGAATTGCAACATTTTGCTGGTGAAAGCGAAGCACAATAAAGCAAACTGCAACAAAACAATGTATGCTTGCAGGTTTCTCTTGTTTTAAAGGCAATGTACAAATAGCCACCTATCTACGATTTTTATAAACTTATAACAGGAAATTTAAGGCTGAGACTGAACGTTTAAAAAAAATTGGAGGAAATATAACACTTTAAAAAGTACTTATATGATGCAGAGAGTAAAGTGATAAAAGTGAGTGCATGACTAAGAGTCTTTTGGTGAACCAAAATTGAGGGGGATGTGTGTAGAAAGGAAAAGTTGTTTTCCTACCTGACAAAACACTTATGGAAATTAGCAGTGCTTATTTAACAGAATTAGACCTGCTTTCTCTAAGATGCCATTGTTTAGATACGTTAAAGATCCGGTCCCGTAATTCCCACATAGAGGATTTGTTTCCATTTAGCAGTAAAAACACTGACCACCATAAATTTGCATTGCAATCAGTGCATTTCTGCAGAGAGATTTCAAAACTACCCAAGTAATTCATCTGGGGCATCTCTTTTATCAGCCAGAGAAAATTCAAGTTAAAAACCAAACAAAACTAAATTACATTTTCATTCACATCATTCCCACTCCATTTCTAACAGAAAACGCTTGCCAAGATATGCTACATTTAACTGTTTAAATCTGTGGTACTTTAGCAAATGCAGTGAAATAAGTAGTTTATTTAAGGTATGTGACATTGCGGATTACATTTTCATTCCCAGGGATATACAAGCATTCAGGCAGAAGTGAGCCAAAAGCGGTAACTCCTATTGCATGACCTCCAAAAGACTCAAGCTAGAAATCCACCTCTAATTAGAAACATATTTCCCTGAACTGCAGAAACTTTGCAAAAAGGTCCAGCTGTCCGTGGTAGGCTACATTTTGCTTTGGGTGAAAGATGCAATCAGAAATAATTTTTTATTTACCTTTTAAAAACTGAATATTTTGTCTATCGTTATTTAACAAAAAACAAACAAACAAACATGTTTGTAATAATTTTGTGAGCTCAGAAAAATCAACGTTTTCTGATAGTCTGAATTTCACAATAGGGCCAAGGGAACCAAGTCACAGGAGCCTGGTCAGAGATTTTTTTTTTTCAGTTCCTATCTCTCAGCACATTTTAACTATCTGACGATCTCTTGATGTTGGAAAAGGAACATTATGTAAATGTAGCATTTTATACTTGCATTCTGAACCAAAGAGGACAGCTTAAAGAGAACATGAAAGAAAAAAAAGAAGCATACAGGTAGTCCTCACTTAATGACCGATCGCTTAGTGGCTGTTTGAAGTTATGGATGGACCCCTAAAAAGGTACTTATGACCTAATTTTGAAGTTCTAATACCTGCTCCTTACAATCATATGATTGCATTTTGGATTCTCGGCAACCAGCTCACTTTTACATCATGTAATTTCAATTTTTGATTTTTTTTCTGATTTCCAGCATTGACTAACAGTTTCTGGCAAAAAAAAAAAAAGATGCCATGGCATAAAATGGATTCACTTAATGACTGCTGTGTTTATTTTACGACCTCTGCATTTATCTAACGACTGCCACGAAAAAGGCTGCAAAATCAGGCATGGTTACATGATCACCAACTTAATGGCTGCAATGACTTAGGATTGTAATTATGATTGATTGATTATAAAAAACTATATGTGAATTTTGAAAGATTCTGCAATATTCTAAAATGAAAACATACACACTTTGGTGCCATCTACCTGTTTATCTGGGTTTATGCAGCCCTGGTCAGGTAGCCTATCACATCTGAAAAAAATTAAGTGTGACATGGCAAAAATTGCTGACAGCTTCCTTATTTGCTAAAGGCAGCATTCATGGAATAAGTAGCATCTACTAGAAATTTAAAGATAGAATGTATTGAAAAATTAAGCATATTTATATATTTATTGGATTTATGTGCTACCTATCTCATCTGGAAACAAACACACACACATAGCTCAGTAGCTCATTGCAAGATAGGCAGCAAATATAACACATAAATAATAATATAAATATAAAGCCGTGTAAACTGCTTCGTAATCAAAGCAGTGAGACAGGACAGGACGGGATATAGTTGAAAACAAAGGAGAACAATAAAAGATGCAACTCTGGCATGGATAATTCTCAAAGCAGAGCTATGTAGCATGTGTTGCTAGTTACCTGGATGACTGGAACCAAAGTAAGCTCTAAGTTAATAAATAGCGCAAAGAACCCATTGATAACTGAATGTAAGGTAAAGATAAAGGTTCCCCTTGCATATATGTGCTAGTCGTTTCCGGCTCTAGTGGAGAGTGCTCATCTCTGTTACAAAGCTGAAGAGCCAGAGCTGTCCGAAGACATCTCTGTGGTCATATGGCCAGCATGACTAAATGCCGAAGGTACCTGGAATGCTGCTACCTTCCCACCAAAGTGGTCCCTATTTTTCTACTTGCATTTTTACATGCTTTCGAACTGCTAGGTTGGCAGAATCTGGGACAAGTAACAGGAGCTCACTCCATTACACGGTGCTAGGGATTCGAACCACCAGCCTTTCTGATCGACAAGCTCAGCATCTTAGCCACTTAGCCCCTGCGTCCCTATTTACATGAACATCCATTCATGTAGGTTCTTTATTTCTTAAGTAATGTTGTATGGCTTGATCTGTAAAAGAGACAAACCAGGTCCTCATGCCATGACCTAAGCTCCTGCTTTGGGAGAGCTGATGAGAGCAATCAGAGTAATCCGTAATTACTGTTGTCTTAGGGAGAGGTAACTTTGGCTTTCCCTTCCAGAATTGCTCCTCCGAGAACTTACAGTTAAATTGTAAGTAGCAAATTTAATAAGTGCTTTGAAGCATTGCATGGTAGTGAAAGTGTTGGACTAGCTTCAGGGAGACTCGGGTTCTAGTCTTTCCTCATTGACCTAAATTCAGTAGTTGATTTAGGCCAGGGGTTTTGGTGTGAGGAAAAATGGAAAGTGGAGCTCCACAGTATGTTTGCCTTCTTAAGCTACTAAACAAAAGGCAGACACACAAATAAATAATAAATATGAATGATGACAAACGTTCTTCTCAATGAATGAAATGCAAGGCTGTTCAGGATAATTCACATACGTTAAATAATGCAAGAGAAAGAGGGAAGAAAAAAGTTGTAAATGTTGCAGATGGGACCATCTCATTCAATAAATGAAAATACAAGCTGCGTTTTGTTATCTAAGTAAGAGCAAAGGGAATACATTTATTAAATTATTTCTTACCCAGCAACCAGTACATATTTTCCATCTGGCTGATCTTTCAGCCTTTCCAGCAGAGAAAGACGTACTTTGGCTTTGGTTTGGCCATAGATTTCAATTTCTTCTGTGAGCAATCCTATCTCTTTGGCAAGAATATGGATAGGTTTTGGAGCCTGTCCCCTGGAAATTTCAATATCACTGCAAAAGAAAACAAATGAAAAAAAAAGGTATGTATACATGAACGGATATACAATTGGCCACAAAGAACTTACATTTTAGGACATGTAGGTCTTTCAAATAATCTTCAACCTTCATTTTATCTTTGTGGAAATGATCCTGGGGGAAGCTCTGTGTGCTCTGAGAATGTTGAAGAAACAATATATTGAGTTGCTAAAGAAGACCTTTCCTGTGGCTGAACTGAATTCTGAAGCTGCCTACATTCTGAATGCCTACATAGGTGTGTCATTTGCCTCTTCTCTCTCAACATATCACTGCTGGCTAATCAAGATGGAAGGTTTTCAGTGGACTTCCTTTACGTGTAAGTTTGGTTTCTCTGAGACATTTAGAAAAATATATAATGGAACCACCAGCCCAGTGCAGGGATCTACTACTACAGACATGCCAAGAGAAAATGACTCAGCCACACATTAAAAGCCAAGCCAAAGTGAATCAAACACCCACCAAGGCAGTTTCTTTGATTACTGGGCAGATTTTATCATTAAGAAAATCTTTTTGATGTCCAACCAAAAAAACTTTCCCTGAAGTTTAATCTTAATTGTTCCTTATCTTTTCCCTTTGGAATCATGGATCAAATTTGCTCTATCTTTTACTGACAGCCTTCAAATACTTGAAGAAAGTTATTTTGTCTCCCTGAAATGTTCTTTTCTTCAAGCTAAATATAGTCAATGATCCCAACCACCCTTCCAAGCGCAAATATTGATTTGAGGATTGCAAATAAATTTTAGCAAGTAGGTAAATAAGCAAATAAAGAGAATCAACTTCATACTTTGTATTGTAAATCTGATCACCAGTATTACGCACACACAAATACATTTCTGATTTATGTTCTAAAATTGGTTATGCTTTCCATTTTTGATAATACATTTATTAAATCACAAGCAATTTCAAGACCTCTATAATCATCTGGAAATGAATGTACTTATAGGGAACTTTTATGCTAGAGAAAATGGATTTAAAAAAGAGAGATAATGTAGTTATTTCCAAGAGTATTAGGATTCTGTATTAAAAAAACAAAACTAAGCCAACTGCCTGAAGAAATTCTCAAACATTCCCATATGAAATTTCCCACTAAGGAAAATTATGCTAGATTCCCTCCAGCCTTGATCATATTCAATTCCTCTAGAGAATAATAAAGATTTTAATGTTGTCATATCATGTGATACAATCATACATAGATGTAATTGCTAAAGAAGAAAATGTCCTCTTTGTTTAAGCAAATCACATATTAATTGTACTCTTCTGTCTTCTCTTATTATACTTGCCAAAGTGCTCTGTGTGAAATGGGCTCCTCTATTCATATTACCACTGGCATTCGTCTAACTTAAAATGCCAAATTTTAATATGCAACTTTCTCACTGTACTCTCCTGTTCTAAGGGTGAGTGAAGATCAATGCAAAATGAGCCCCCAGTCACATGATGTATGAGAAAGTATGCTAGATGGTTGCTAATGTTTCCCTGGCCAATCAAGATTTAGACATAGGAAGATAGGGAGCTGCCTTCACCTTACTGTTCCATGTCATGTGACTGACACTGGCAGTATGCTTCTAAAGTTTCAGGCAGGAATTGTGAAGACTAAACTTGGGACCTATTGCATGTAGACCATGTACTCTTTTCCTGAACTTTCTCCATTCAACCATGAAGATCCTGCACCACAGCCTGAATCTTGAGACAAGAAGAACCAAAGAGAGACGTCATCCTGAAATTGGACTTTCCCAGATTGAGATTCTTTCTCTCTCACACACATACACACATATACACCAGGCAGCTGATAAGCCTGTTTATCTCTTTATCAATGCAGACCAGGGGATTATTCCTTTCAATCTGTCCAGAAATTAGGCAAACTTGGAAAGTAGAAATCTAGTCAAAGCTTCAGGCATACTCCAGACTTGTTGGAGCTTCTCTATTTTCAAATATCCTACTCTTCAGCCCAACTCTGCTTGACTAAGTCATCCTCAATCATTTTTCATTTTCCAGCCACAAGGGCTTCCTGTTTACGATGGAGCAAAACTGTTTGGCTGGAAATTATCACAAACATGCAGTTCTCATTCATAAAAGCAAAATCTCCCTCAAGTTGGGCTTGACTCCTGGTGACTTTATGAAATGTCTCTATAGTTTTCTTTGCAACAGTATGGAAGCAGTTTGCTATTCAGCTCTTCTTCTAATTTCCCAATCTAATCTGTAGTCCTAGGATTTCCTAGTGATTCCAATTAAAACAATAACCAGGCTCAATTCTGCAACTTTTTAAAGATCACTCAGGGTGGGATAGGTGCTGGCCAGTCCACGTTTACAAAAAATACAATTTTGCCAGATTAAAAACTGAAGGTTACTAATGACTTGACTAATGCCATCTTTTCTGCCTTAGAGTTTTATTTCAGCAGAATGAACCAGCAATCCTTAGAGAAATTAGAATAAATTGAACAAGACAAGAAAATTATACTCACGTTTTAGCAAATGTTTTGCTTTAATATACAGGACCCTGCTGGAAAATAATTTGCTATGCGGTTCCTACCTGGGAACAGGTGAAATGGGCTGTAGACTCAAGCAACTTAGATTCCATTCCTTAGACTGCTGGGCTGCTATCTGTAGCTCACTGAGTTTTACCAAGTTCTTTCAAGAAGAAAAGAGATAAAAAATACTTTGCTTTAGTACAGTTGCAAAATATAGTGTCAATCTCACTTTTTGAGATTCATACTTCCAGAGAGTATTTTTTTTTCTTCGCAACTGGAGGATATGAAAGGTATTTTATTGGGGAGGAAGCCTGAAGCAAGAAGGACTCACTTGTGCTCTCCAAGTCTGTTCCACTTGCCTGCTGACTTTTATAATCACTTTGAAATTTGAGGCACTTTGCCATGTTTTCAATCTATATATCATTTTTTCCCCTCCTTGTTTCATGTTATTACTATTCCTCAGTGCATAGTGTTAAGACTCAGCACAAAGAAAAAAGCATCTTAATACCATTGTAAGCTGGTACTGTGTCTGGGGGTAAAGATGCAAAAAGAATGTTGTAAAAAAAATCGCACATGTGCATAAATTTTCACTGGTACCCAGACAAATTCAGACCATGAATATTTCATTAGTATTTGTAATCCTAACCTGAGTTTGAATACCTTTCTTTCTTTTTCCTTCCATGCTGGTTGAATTCTTGAACTGTGAACCTGCACTACATCTTTTGTTTTGTTCCTGTTACATAAAACGTCACCACGGGACCTACTAACCTGCATGCATATTGCCAATGCCAGATGTTCTACAGCCTCACCTAGATTGCAATCATTGCCTCTTGTTGGATGTCCACGAAAAGTGTTCTGTCCTGAAAATGAAAAACAATTGCACCCATGAATCCAGCAGCCTCTTCTTGTGGGAAGATCTTTGGGGGAAAAAAGCTGCAAGAAGATAATTGACACCATTAGCTAAATTACTGCTGAACAAAGGTGCCATATGCAATATAGAAAGCATAGAAACACATGAACATGTAAATAAATAGATACAAAGAGAAATAGACAAAAGTGGGGTGAAAAATACTGTATATCCTGAACATATAATTATTGCAAAAGTAAAGAATTTGGGGGGGGTAGGAGTGCCAATTGATTGCATATATTATCACAAAGCAGTGATGATTTCTCTTACACTAACTTGGCTGACAAGTTTTTTTCAGCCACCTAACAGTGACAATAAACCGTTAGGTGCTGACAAACTCACATAAAGTTTGTCATAAAGATTTGCATAATTTAATCCTGCAGAGATGATTGGGAAGAATCAGGAGATGCTTATAGACTTAGAAGCAAATTATGCCTTCTGTCAGCACTTCAGAATCACCTCCCCAGTATAGGTAGCCCTCACTTAACAATTGATTGCTTAGCAACCATTCAAAGTTATGATGGAACTCCCCCTCAAAAAAAGGGGGGGGCTACTTAAGGCCCAGTTTTGGAGTTTTGATAGCTGCCCATATCTCCACAGTCACATGGCTGCATTCTGGGTGGCTTGGCAATTGGCTCAACTTTACGGCTGGTTGTAGGGCCCCCTGATCATGAAACTACAATTTATAATGCTTTTTTGCTGGTCTCTGATCTTTTCTGTCAGTTTGCGGTAATAATGTCCATAGGAATACACTTGCATCTATTGATAATTATGGCTTTTGCTTAATAGCTTATGGCCATCATGATTTACAACAGGAATTCCAGGCTTCATAAATCAAGGACTATCGGTACCTGGCTTCTCCTGCTACTAAAAGCACTAATAAAAACAGAAACGGTACAACTGTTGCTAACATGTTCTGAAGGACTGCAGTGACATATTGTGTGACACGCTTTTTCTGAATGCTTTGCACAGCTGCACTAAATACCATTCCTGTAATATGAGTACTTTCTGTGCTTTTACAATTTTTCCCTCCTGCCACCTTAACAGTTACAATTAAATTGGAAGTTTTTAGAGGGTCTCTGAAGGAAAAGAAATCCTCTCATCCATCGGCCTCATCCAAATTCTCATCACTACCAGCAAGACTTTTACTTGGAAGAGTAACCCAATAATCTCCCCAGCCTTTTCCAAATCTGTTGGATTAAAACTCAATTGGATTATAACTCCTGTCTGTCATCGGGTTGGACTGTCCCCAGCAAGTTTAAAAAAAAAGTTACGGTGTTGCTTGGAAGCCTCCTTACAAAAAGGATAAATAGTGCAACTTTCATCAGGGGGACAAATATTTTTGGATAAAGGAATTATTTCCAGTGTTGTCATTAAATAATTTAAAATATGCCATAGCGCAGATATATTTTCCTTTCTTTTTGCCATGTAGTAATTCAATAGCTGAGCACTATCTAGTTTACCTGTAAAATGTGTAGATGATACATTGAACTATTTGCTTGCCACACATATGGAATGTGTGTGTGTGTGTGTGTGTGTGTGTCTTCAAGATTTCTTTGCTTTGCATCTTTCAGCTGTCATAAGTAACGGGGAAGGAGGGGTGAAATAGTTATGGGAAGCAAACTGGAGCCAGGAGAGAATAAACTGTATAAGGTGTGTGTGGGGGGGGAGTTTCTTGTTTATTCTTCTGCAGCTCTTTATCAAAATAGGCCAAGGCCAGCGGACAGATGCCTCATCACCACCTGAAGCTGCCCACATGACATTACATACAAATTTTAATTGGATGGACAGTTTGAACTATTGTGGGTGGGAACGTTGCCATCACTTTGTATGTGTGATTTACGTGCTCATTTTCTCAGATTCAGAATTCCTTTGATGCTACCACTTGATTTCCAGTAAAATATATCTTTTCTCTAATTAACAGAGTCTTAGTGTTTCTTTCTTGGATTTTGAATGGAGCACCAGCTGACAGTGTGTGTGTGTGTATATACACACAAACACACGCGAACTGCTTTGTAACTAATGAAGTCAGCTAGTCAACCTTCAGGTACACCTGTATCGTGACAGAGGAAAATGCAAAATATCATGCAGTTCACCTTTGCCTAATATAAAATCTACTATCTCCAAAGACCAATTCAGCTGCATGCAACAGGAATTAAATGTGTATAGCAAGGCCAAGCTTCATTTATCCAGGCATAAATGACTAAATTGCTGGGGGATAAACTTGCATTTCTCAGCTTGCAAACTATTTCATGGGGCTGATGTAAATGAAATATGTTTTGTAAATATAAACAAAATATTGTTAAAACACAAAAACTGTCCAGATAAATAATTGTGCTCATTTTTATTCTTATGTATTTTGCTTGTACTGCAAGTAAAGAAATGTGTAAGATACAGGTACTCCTCGAACACAACTGAGCCCAAAATTCCTGTTGCTAAGTGAGACAATTGTTTAAGGGAGTTTTGCCCCATTTTACGACCTTTCTTGCCACAGTTTTTAAGTGAATTGCTGCAATTGTTAAAATAGTAACAGATAGTATTGATTTTGCTTGTCAGGTCACAAAAAAGATATGAAAGGATAGAAAAACTCACTTAATAACTGTCTCACTTAGCAACAGAAATTTTGGGGTCAATTGTGATTATAAGTCGAAGACTACCTGCATTTTAAGACCCTGGGACACTGCAACCATCCTAAATATGAGTCAGTTGCCAAGCACCTGAATGTTGATCACATGATTATGGGGATGGGACAATAGTTGTAAGTGTGAAAAATGGTCATGTTACTTTTTCCAGTGCTGTTGTAACTTCAAATGGTCACTAAACAAACTGTTGTAAGTTGGCAACCAGTTGTATGTAGAATGGTTCTGAGTCAGCTTTCCTGCCTGCTTTGTCCTACTGATAGCTCAATTTAATTAAGCCACAATGGATCATATAAACTAGTATAAACTGAAGTGGTCAGAAGTCCTCTTTGTTCTGCCTCAGGATCTTCAAGTTGTATTTACAATTATGGAAATAAAATATCCATATACATTTTTTTTAAATGGTGGAAAGACATAAATGCAAGTATATAGCTTTTTCCTGTCTCCCTCCTTAAGCCGGGAATATGCAAGAAGAAACATACTTATCTGTTTCACTTCACTTCTGGCCACCATCCCACTGTTACATCTTCCCAGGCCTCTTCAAGTTTGGAAATATGAAGTTGTGATTCAGTGAAACTTGTTGTCATGAAATTTAATTGAAAACTGGCAAATTTAATATTGAAAAAAAAATGACACAACTTCATATTTAGAAGAAACTAGAAAGATGCTTCCTTGAGTATCCTTGCATGCTCCAAGCATCTTTTTTAAACCTTTGAATTCAAAACCACGCACAACCATAGAAGCCCCTAGCTTCATCTGTTGTTGTTTTTAATTCTGTATAACTTGCAATGCAACTTAAATATCATTGGATCACAATTCCTTTAAGTTTTGACAACAAAGTCATAAAGGAGTCATGAAGAAGATTATAGCTTGAACACTAAACACTCAAGAAAGGGGGGCGGGGGGATCAAACAGCTTTCACTGTGTTCACACTTTGTTCTTCAAGATCAATCTTCTGGAAAATGTCAATTTAGATTAGAAGTGGAGAATGTTTTGCTGGAAGTTAAAACTGTGTCTACCCTAGCCATAAATCAATGACTGTCACAATGAAACCATGCTAGGATCTCAGCCAGAACAATAAGAAACAAAAGAAGCCAAATTTGATTCTCTTCTCCCCTTTGCTTAAACTTCTGTGCTTCTTCAGATTATTTGATTTGGCTTCGTATAACTGTTTTTATCAGTTGAGAGATAACATGTAGTTGAGTTTCAGAATTTACCCTGATTGGAAACTGGAGCGGCCGATTTGATGCCAGGAGTAACAGAGTGGAGCATTCTTCTAGCTGACAGTATGAATGGAGTCCATTGAAAAATATTGTGTCTGAAGGCATGAGGAGACTTTATCTGTAGCATCTCATTCCTTTACACTTGCAAGCTATGCTGTTCCATGGAAAGATACTGTGCTCTGAATTAAGTTTCTCTTCCCATTTAACATTTTTATTAAGATAAAATAAGATACAAAATACAAAAGTAAATAGGAGAACGGTGGGAGGAAGAGGGGGAAGAGAAGTGAAGAAGAGTAGAGAGAAAAAGAAACAGAAACATTTGACTTCTGACTCTTTCTGTTGCAGTAAAATAAGGCGTTAACATCAAATCACAACTTTGTGGTTTTTTTCCTAATAATATAAACAAGCCATTTCTATAAAGATCTAGCAATCTAATTGGTAAAACCCAAAATCAAAATTTCATTCTTTTCCACTACAAGCACAAAGTTCAGAAGCGGTCTCCATGTGGAAATAAAATTATATTCTTTTCTTTAATCAAAATAGTCAATTTTGCCATTTCAGCCACCTCCATCAACTTCTTCAACCATTCGTCCATGGCAGGAATGAAAGTGTCCTTCCACTTTTGTGAATACAATAGTCTTGCTGCTGTCAACATATATAGTAACAAAGTTCCAAATTTTTCTCCAGGTCTTTTCCCATGAATTAAGTTTCTCCATCATACAGTGGCTCAACAATATGTGACAGTGCAGGTCATTATTATTATACCTACTGTTCTAATTTTGTCCTGCCTTTTTTATATACAAGGTAGCAAACATATCTAATACGCTTCCCGCCTATTTTCTACACAACAACCATCCTGTGAGTTGGGTTGGGCTGAGAGAGAGTGACTGGCCCAAAGTCACCCTGCTGGCTTTCATATCTTAGGGAGGCCTAGAACTCACAATCCCCTGGTTTCTAGGTCAGCACCTTAACTTGTATACCAAACTGGCTATATATTATGACACTGAAAAATGGAAAATCTATCAACTATTATCCTGGAGGCTCAGAGTTCAACACATCAATTAATGCCCAGAGAGAGAAAGAAAAAAAAGAGAGACAGAAGAAACATAGGCACTAATGGCTCTATGCAACAGCCAGCAAGAATAATTAGTCAGGGATGCCAGTAAAGTGAAGGCCTCCTGAAGTAATGCTAAATTAGGACTGTTCATAGGATTTATCAGTATCAGTCAAAGGAAGATTAATCTTTCTGCCCTTTATTTTAAATGTCAAGATATAAGAGCATCCTTTTTTGTCATTAAGAAATTAATTCCTGCAAGTTTTAAGCTTTAGCACCCATTTAATGTACTTCACATCTCCACCGAAACTCACCCCCAAAAGTGCCTTGTGAACAATCCACCGTAGTGATATCAGGATTTTTCAAAGCCACTGAGATCTCTTTAGGTTTGGTACTGCCCACGACCATCATATCAGCATCACGAAGCTAAGATGGATAAAAGAACATACACTTGATTGTATGAGATATATCTGGAAAGACAAAGTGCTGAACTGTGTTTAATCAGCTTTAATCAGAAAATACATAATTTAGAAATGAATATGCATATATGTGTTGTATATGTATAAACTAAGCAACCTCATAAACCATGGTTGAAAATTTATTTTAAAAAGTCACAACAGCATACACTTTACTTAATTATCCTATCTCCTTCCTCAAACTACTGAACGTACAACAATCTTGGGGAAAAGGATAAATAAGAGCCAATAGCTATCAGCTGTCTTTCCAAATCTAAATACTGCTGAAAGTTTTCTTTTATAAATGAATAAAAAAATCTGTTAAACACAGTGGACAAATCTGGGTGCCTTGCTAAATTATATTTTAGTATTATATGAACTTAGATCTAATATAAACTTAGATTTCAACTATGATTTTGGTTATTTATTTGGGAAAGGAATGGGGCATAGCAAATGCCTCAGAAGCGAGATAACCTGCACTGATCTCAATGGATTCTGGCTTGAATACAGTGGCAAGAAAGAAAAAGAGCAGCCTAACAGTACATTCCCAATCAAAAAGCAAAAAGAGATACACTTAATCTTTTAATTCGGGACAAGGTCTTGCTGAAATAAACTTGTGTTTGAAATGTGTCTACAAGGTAGACCAGACTAAAACACCAATGCCATGTAGGCCAGGCATTACTTTTATTGTAAACTTTGGAGTAACAGGATCATGCAAGTCTAAATGTGCTTCCTCCCTCCTTTCCTTGATCTTTATCTGAGATAGGGAAGGGCTTGTCTGATATTATATATTTTCTCTATTTATTTCTTGGCCCAGGCTCAAGCCTCACTTATCTGACTGTCCCTTGGTAGCAGTTTTTCCTCCTGTCCCTTCAAGGCTTCTCTCCATATAATGTCAACAAGGTGGGGTTTTGCACAATTTTCTGATGAGAGTAAGCTCCACAAGGTGGAGATTATCATAGGCAAGTGTCAGCCTTTTGAGGCACATTAGGAAAGACCCACATGAACTCCATTTGTATTGTAGGCTTATATTAACAGAATCTTTCAAGTACATCTGTCTCCCCTTATCTTTATAGCCCAACAAACTAGGAAGGGTCCCTTCTGAGATGTTTGCTATGCCCCCATTCCTTTCATGAGCACAGCTGCTTCTTATATGAGCATCCACCTAGACTGTGGTTCTTCTTCCTGTCTGCCAAGGTCATTCCCACATACCATTACAAGATCTGTCATGTGTCTGTACCCAATGTGTACAATGTGGAGCAGAGGTGGTCAATATGACTTTTGTAGATGACTAGAGGAGTAGACTAAAATCTGATCAACCGTTGCCTCATATATTCTAGGGCTATACCAGGTAGAACTTTAAAAGTAATGAGCAGTATTTGGATTGGGCTTGGAAACTTACGGGCAATCCATATATCAAATTTAATTTGTGCTATTTTACACTGGTAGATATGTCCCACCTTAAGCCTAACTGCTGCTTTTTAAAAACAGCTGCAACTTACAGAAAATCTCCAGAGGCAGACCTGGATAGTGATAAGGACATGGGTTATTGAATCAGGGCAAGTTATAGGGTTATCTTGTTTCTGAAAGTTTAAGAGCTATAATACAAATACCATCAATCACATTGTAGGTCTGTTTTCCTATGATACCGGCATTTAGAATGATATTAGGATCATTCTGAATTTTACTATTGTATTTTATTATGTTATTTCAATATATTTTTGGTTATTTGAAATTTAATAAGCAAATCCTCTTTTTCATTAATGAAAGGTGAGGAGAGCCTAGGCTTTATTAATCAGCTTGCTTTGTCCAAGGTGCATTAATATTACAACAAACTACTAAGAAATTCAATCAACAATAATTAAAATTAGTTTGGCAGGACTTGCTCTTTATAAATTAATACTGATCGCTAGTCAATACTAACACTGTGATATTTTTGTGCAATCTGCCTGTCAGGTACTTAATCTTGAGACAATACATCACAGCATCCTGACACAGAAGAGAATATGGCTTGGTTGTTTGCTTGCAGGCATTTCATTACCCAACTAGGTAACATGTTCAGTGGATAATGAGCATCTGCAAGCAAACAACGGAGCGCAGAGAGCATTAAGAATGCTACAATACACTATCCCAACTACACAAAGAGGTGGAGTAGAGCAACCTGTCTCAATGTCTGATTCACCTTGTAAACAGTGTACATTTCACATTACAAAGAATCTCTCATAGACTAAGCAAGGATGAAAACTAAATAAATAATCAAACCGATTTCCTTGCAAATGCACCCTATGGTTTCCAATTAGTTCGTAGAGCCAACACAAAACACATGCTATTTATAATTGAAACCAAATGAGATAAAAAGTCTGACAGAAGTGTGAACACTCATCCAAAGGACAACTAGTTACATATTGTAAAATGTTTTAAAATCCATTAATGAGATCAGACTGCAAAGAATGAATTAAAAAATCATGTGAAACAATTGCTTAATCAATTCTTATGAGTGGGGAAAGATTCCTTATGCTCATTCTCATGGGAATTAATAGCATTTTCTTCCAGCAAACTGGACAAGATTAAATCCAATAAAAACTCTGAATCTTTAGTTCATAGCATTACACAACTTCAGTGAGAATTATGCTAGAAGATTATATTATCTTTGAAGACCCTCCCATTCCCAGAAAGAACATAAAATGTTAAATCAACACAAATTCACGCACCAGTATCTAGTATGTTCTAATCAAGACACCATATTACTGAGAACTACATAAAAATTGCATTCCTCTACAGTTGACATTAATTTCTTAATGTGACATCATAAACTTCAGGATGAAATAATTACAATTTTTAAAAATATGATGTTTTTCACTAAGACAAATGGTAGGTTTCTAATGAAATAAAGAAATCAGGTATTAAAAACAGTAAGAATTAGTGGGATTTTTAAAGATCCACTTTCAGCTGCTAGTTATTGAAGTAAAGGCTACGGCCAGGGCTGTTTTTGAAACTATGGGGAAATGGCAATTTGTCCAAGTGCCACAGTTCCTAAATTAGCAAATCAGGATCAACACAGTCATATAATATGGTTACTATCCTGATTTGCTAATTTAGGAACTGTAGGTTCCCAATCAGGTGTAACTACCGGTTTGGTGATTATGTTTTGCGCGTGTAAAAAATCATAAGCTGTGTTGCCCAGACAGCTGAAAAGTGTTGCGCGTGGGTGCGCAGTGTTTGAAAAGTCTCTTTTTTCCTGCTTTTCCAACCTCAATTGTGCCGCACAAAGCAGCTGAGGTTGAAAAAGCAGAAAATAAAGGACAGGTAAGAGCCCGGGTAGGCGGGTGGGCCAAAACAGCAGCAGACACAGAACTGGTTCGGTGTCTGCTGCTCTTCAAAGCTACCGGTTCTATAGAGCCGGGCAGAACCGGTAGCATCCTACCCTTGTTCCCGATACAGTTCAATATTGAAGTTTAAACCTGTAAAACCCTGTAAAGAAGGGCTGTCAAACTCAACGCTGGGGGCCAGATCCGGCCTGTGGGGTGCTTAGATCTGGCCTGTGGGGCCGGCCTGGAAAAAGCAAAGGCCCGGCCCGCAATGTCTCTGCCAACAAAAATGGAGCTGCATGTGGCCCTCCCAAGCTCCGTTTTTGCTGGCAGAGGGTTGCAAAAATGTAGCTCCCAAGGGCCATGGGCGGCACTCCCAAGCTCTCTTTTTGTTGGCAGATGGTTACAAGAGGCCATCGCACCTGAAAACGGAGCTCACAAGGGCTGCGGGAGACATTCACAAGCTCCGTCTTCACTGGCAGAGGGTTGCAGGAGGCAGTCACAGCCAAAAACAGAGCTCAGGAGACTGTTTTCACTGGCAGAGCGCTCAGGCCACCATAGGCGCCCCTGACACAAGTGATATCGAGCTGACAACGCCCCCCCCCCCCCCCCCCCCCAAGCTCAAACACAACCCTGATGCGGCCCTCAGTGAAACTGAGTTTGTAATTTCTGCTGTAAAGCTTGACACTTAGGCATTTAACATTTCAGTGCAGATATGTGTCAATGTCTTTTGATATTGGTAACTTTTGAATGGCAAAGGGGAAAGAGATCCCAAACAATGTTTCTGAGTTGTGGTCCCATATTATGGAATGGCTTCCCTCTTGAAGTTGGGCCAGAACCTGATTGTGGCCTCCCAGAAGTTACTGAAGACCAAATATTATCAGAGGGCATCTGGTGAGTGAGCTGACAGCACCGCACCTATTTGTATTATATCAGCACTTGATTAATTTATTATGATTTTATGTTTTGCTGTTTTTATGTTTTAGGAAGTGATCCACCTGGAGTCTTTATGGAGTATGGAGATACTGTATAAAAGTACAATCAATCAATATATCTATATTTTTCAACTCAAGGAATAATAACTTTTTCCCCATGTTTGCATATCACACACAGGTGTTTCCTCTGTTCGTAACAGGACAAGAATGCTTGTTTCAAAACTGGGAACATTATTATAGTGGGATATCCAACAGTGACTTTGTGCTAATGAAAATTACTTCCACTCAAGCAAGGCAGGACACCCAGTTATTGCTGCCCTGTTAATTCCACGAGTCATCAAGAAATGCTTACTCTTGTTCTCATCACATTGACAGCCACAATGTGTCTGTCCCTGCTGTCTAAGTCCTTATTCAGTTCCACATCAATTGGCTGACATAGGATATGAAGCTGATTTGGGAATTATGATTCGGGAACCTCTCCCACCAGATATCCTACAGATGTGAAGACACTGTTGACTGGGGATTCTGGGACTTGCAGTCCCCATATATTTGAAGGTTACTAGACTGGAAGTTTTGACTATATTTGAAGACAAATGTTGATCTTTATATTAAAGAGACATGTACATGAAAACTAAAAGAAATGTAGATTTAAGTATGAATCTCAAAACCAAAATTCACACTATCGCAGGGATTTGCAATAGTATTTCACAATGGTTTTATTTTTCCTT